AAGGGGGAATATACTGTAATGGGCTAAAATAAAATAAATGGTGGATGTGAGAAATATTCGGGAGATAATTCACTTATATTTGGACATATTTAGCCGAGGCTGAATACTCTGAAATAAAGCGAAATTATTCCCCAGACTGCTAAAATACGTCACATCCAGAGTAACTAGGCAATGATCGAAATATGAGTGGAAATTACATTTATTTCAAAACCTAAAAAAATAGGTTAAAAATTACTGGATCACAATAAATAATAATAATAACTATTATTATTTCAGTTTAAATCAACAAAACTAAATATAGCAAGCCTAATTTAAGCCGTTCATTATTTTTATTTTACAGTATGTTATATCTGTAGGACCTGCTTTAACTTGCTTCTTTAGGTGTTACCTTGAACATAGTGGTTTGAATTGTATAGTTTAGGTTTTATATGAATCATCAGAATTTATAATTGTTATTGCGTTGCATATTATAATGAAGAACAAATTAACAAAAAAAAAGATAAATGTTGTGTGAAGTTATTTTACATTGGGTATATGAAAATGAGACTCTTAACATATCATATGCACCACAACCTTTATCAACCTCAGTTTGCGACACAGAGCTGAAAACTGCTACTAATTCCTGCAGCTGTGCAATGAGAGACTGCTCTATTATGTACTTGTAAAGAAATGCAAACTCCTTTAAATGCAAAAGAAACATGGCTGCAGCTCAATGAGTTGAAGCAAAGCTGATTAATTCATGTGTGCTGTAGTGTAAATGATTGTAAATATTATTGACACACACTAAATGAGTCCACACTAACTGGGCGTGAGTTAGGTCTAATGCAGGCTATATAAAGAGATATTTCCTGAGTCACCTTTGGATAAATGCTACTTGCAAGTTTAGGTTTGTGACAGTCAATAGGATGCTTGCAATTAAACACCAACTGCATTATGCAAATTATATCAACACTGAACAGAATGTGAACTAACTCAGTATGATAATTAACTCACACAGATCTTATTTGGTCTTGGAATAAAATATGCACTGTAACAACCACAAATGGGTAACGGGGATGAGGTTACGGTTATGTAATTCAATAAGATAACAGATTTCATAATAATTTCAGTGAAATTTCACAAATCTTAGCGCGAGTACTTATAGAACGAGAAGAAACATTTGAAGCATCAGCGTGTTAATGTCAAGGTTACAAACCGGTCATTGCCTTCATTATTCATTATCACCCTCAGCATGTAAATACATGGCCAATACGTGGTAAAAAAAATAAAATAAAACAGCATATCAAACTAAAGTGTTGCACTAAAACTCAGTGGTTATTGTCTGGTGTTAAATTTCATTCAAATGATCAGCAAAGTGGGGACTGAATACTGCTACACCTTTGCTATGACTGGTAAATTAGCACATACTCTAAGTATTAAAGGATAAGGCCAATGATTTTCTATATTAACTGTATCTTCAACACTCCCCAAGCAGAGACTAAAACCAACAATGAAATGCCTTTGCTCACTGTTAATGTCTGTCAGTCGTGGATCAGCGTCTTTGTCGGTGCCATCGACCTCTATTGTTCTTCAAAAGCAATTTAAAAAGTAGCTGAGAAATACACAGCTGTACTGGGTGACACGTTTCCTTATTATGAAACACCACACCCTGATATTAAAATTTTCCAAAGATCTCGTACATGCGTGGGTGATTCTTGCTTACTTCAGACAGTGTAAAATGTTACGGCTGTTTGACAACATTTTAAAAAAAGTATTGGGCTTCATTTAGTTGGTGCCCTAGAACTAAAACACATTATTAGTTACACCTGTGTCCAACAAGTCAAGACATGAGAAACTGGATTACTGGATACTGTTCCTATTTAAATCTGTGAGATTACTTTGACCTTGTGAACCCCACCAAAGTGCCACTGCATTCTAACAATGTGCATCCTCACCATCATTAAACCCATTTATTTTTCTGCCCAGGTGAAAGTGTGGTTCCAGAACAGGCGAACCAAGTACAAGCGACAGAAGCTGGAAGAGGAGGGACCAGAGAGCCAGCAGAAGAAGAAGGGAAGCCACCACATCAACAGATGGCGCATCGCAACCAAGCAGGCCAGTTCCGAGGACATCGACGTGACCTCAGAGGACTAAACCCGCAGTATGCCCCCTTCTGACTCAGAGTACCAACTCTATTTATTATGTAATATTATTAAGTATAATTCGACACATTAGAGGAAGACTAAGTACGTGATCGCCACACATCTCTTCATTGTGGTGCTATACTCGGAAACACTGGAAAAAATAATTTAAAGACATCCATTGTGAAGGAGAGCTCCTTCAACCTGAAGATCTTTGGTGCGTGACAACCAAAGAGGAACAGAAACAACGTCAACCTCTGTCATAGTGCTTTGTTTTTGTTTTAACTGTACATAGGCCACTTGTAAGGATTGTTTTTGAAAAAAGCTATTTGTTTCATTAAAGCTCCTTTTCCCACCTGGTTAGGTCATTATCACCTCATTCCTCACCCCACTCACCCTGCCACCTGGCACCATGTTCTTTTATATGTCTCCTCATTGCAGTTGTACACTTGTGATCCAACCACTGAGCGGGAGAGCAGGCTGGTGACTGGCTGCCAGAAAAACAAACCATGTGTCAAAGAAGAAGCTTGTCCCTGTATGATTTTAACGTTCATGACTCAAGAAGCATTCCAGTGCTCTGCTATGCTATGCTTCCTAATGAAGATTCCCCACATAAGGCTAATTCATGGCCAGCTGTGCACGACTCTTGGACAGATGAGAAGCTGCAGAGAGCTCTGGTGTTAGGGGCGAGTTGTGCCACATAAAGAAACTGAGTTGACAACTTGGTGCCTCTTCTGCCATGCTACCTTTATCACTGTGGGGTGAGGGGTGACCTCCATTTGTGAAATGTCTGCAGATTTCATTAAGTGCAGTGTGAAGTAGAAAACATATACAGTATAAAAACATTTTTCAAACTGAACATGTAATTACAAAAAGATGTTTTAGAAATAAAAACTATTTCTCTCATGAAATAGAATGTTTTATATAACTCAGGTGCATTTTTACAGCGTGTCAACCAGGCTCTGCAGGTTGTCATTCCAAACAGCCAAGCATGTGGCGCATGTGCAAATCAGTGTGAAAAATGCTGCTGCAGTGCTGTACTGGAATCAAAACCTGCAGAAATGACGACATCCTGATTATCCAGCAACCCCATGGGAGAGTTCTCTTTGGTTGGGACCCGCTGATCAAAATGAAGGTACCAGGAATGTTACAGGGCAGCAGCACAGGTGTCAGGTGTGTTATTACTTCTGAATTCCAGCAGGAGGAGGACAGAAATAATCCCATCCAGGGGGGCCATCTCTGAAAAAGAACAAACAAACTAAAAAAAAACAGGGAAAGTAGTTGCTATTGTGCAGCAGGCCTTTCACTAAACCGCCTCAGCAGTCACCTGTCAAAAGAAACGGAAAGAATCTTGTCCTAATGACCCCCAGGCTTTAGCGATGAGCCCTGATGGGTGACCCAGATGTCTTGTTTTGTAAGCAGAGAAAAGAGGGGAGGTGGAAGAGTAAAATACACTGCATTAGTGTCACCTTTTTACAGAGCACAATACATTAGACATCTGGTGTTGCAAAAGGGGCCACATGCCTTGTCTGGGCTTTCCAGGATATCCTATACTCACTGCAGGTGAGTAAAAGGAGATACACCGTGCACTATTATCTAAATAAACATTATGGTGTATTTTAACCCTGACCTGTACATTTCTGTAACCACCTTGACAAGCAGGTGTGCTTAAGGCCAATCACATCCTGGTTAGGTAAAACACAAGGGCTGCTCCTCTCAGTTGTCTGTTGAGAAAACAACTAATTGGACCATCGCGTCCGTCTCCCAACATGCTGTGTCTCCTGTCGCCTGAGTCAGCAGAGAGGAGAGAGTTCAGGATAAGAGCGGGAAGGCATTGTGAAAAACAAATCTCTCTGGAGGAGCAGGGTGCTGCAAGGCGGGGGGAAGCAGCCACCAGCAAAGGTGTGTGAGAACCAAGTCGAACACAGGTAGTGTTTGGTTACTTGCTTTCTGTGGGGCGACTGAAAGCCGTCTGTTTTCTCAGCTAACACTATAAATTACGTTTTCCTATTATAAAATTGCATGTTGAGTGCTAAATCATGCAGTGTGGTCACAGTTATCACATTGCATTAGTATCAGCCAGGCAGTGGTAAACACACTGAATTACTAATTACACCAGCTCATTTATGAAAAAGACTGCCATCTTAAATAATATTGAAAATGACTGACAAACCAGATGCATTCTTCTAATTACTGAAATTACCTCATTTGTGATAAATGTTCAAATTGTGATAAAGTGCACTTGAGACTAGATAAAACATTAATTGCACATTTTAAAAATGCCTGTCATGTGACATTTTGTCCAAAAGGTGTGACAAAAAAATTCACATATTAAAAATATGGAAGCACAATCTTTACAAAATCGTTATATTTTGACTTTTAAAATTAACTACTGATTATTATTTGAACTAAATTGAGGCTAAATTGTTTAAATATGGTCCTAAGTAATGACCATTAGATAAATGTGTGTCTGCCGGAGGTTTCTTTGCGTTACAGGAAGTTTTCCTCCCTACTGTCGCCTTGATCAAGAGGGATTTGGGTTTTTTCCCCTCAATAAATAAATGAATACATACATAAAAAATAACAATAACCTAGACCTTACGCTGTAAAGCGACCTTTGTTGTGATTTGGTGTGATACAAATAAAATGGAATTGTATTGAAACTAAGAGTGTGAGACTTGTGACTGCAGGAAACCACTAAACAAAATGTAATAAAAGCATGGATCCACAGTTTGCTTTAAGAATGAGGCTTTGTTATTTGTCTCACCTGAATTTTGTGACAACTAACACCCGGCGCCCTCCACGGATCCTGCATGTGGCTGCTTGTTAAATTATGCGGCATCACAGCCTACCGTGGGGCGTTCCCCAAAGCAACGGTGCAAACATAATAATCATACAGATCATGATAAAAGATAATACTTGAAGATGGTGGGTTATATAAATCAACTGAAAATACAAAGACAACAGCATTTTAACAACAATGCCTCTGGAAACTAGAACAAAAATCCCCTTGTTTTAGGTCAAGACTAAAATGTCCTTACTGTGATTTTCATATGTGTGTACAATATTTACAAAGTTTTTGCTTGATTGCACAATGAGAATCAATAAGATGAACCAGTTTATATGGCAACAAAGAAAGTAATTTTGCTAAAGTGACCCAACTCCCACATTTCAGTTACAGGGAGCAAAAGCACGTACTGTGATTTTAAGTTATTTTTTCCATGAGGTTTTTTTTTTTTTTGTGGGAAAAAGCATAGTGTCACATTTTAATTGGTGACACACAAAACCTCTAAAAATGAAACAGAGGAAGAAAAATCCCCACTGATTTAAATACTCTCAACGCACAGACATGCAGTCTATGACACTGTGTTGTGACCATATTATCATTAGCATTTCTCCACCACAGGAACTAACCTAGAGCTTCCCATACCCATAACCCTGTGGAACCTTGAAGGGCCGACATGATCTAACCCTGCTTTGCTTTCCCACTACACGTTTCCCTGTGTAAGGGCTGCAATCCTCATGTCAGCGAGCCATCAAACAGCTGCTGATCAAGCGGAACACAAACTTGTGGAAACGTGACAGCCGGTATCAACTCGCTGAAATTTTACCTCAAAACCAGTACGAGAATGTTCACAAACCGTGGCGATGACACTGAAGGTTTAACCAATCACAGGTGACAGCCCTGCCAGTGAAGGGCAGTGGAAACAAGCGGTCTCTAGGACAACGGGTACAAGTTCCATTATGGGTTGCTAAGTTCCTACAGTGGAAAAGACCTAAGTACTGTATGAAGTCATACAACCTCGACCACAACTACACCCACGTAGACATGTCCTGCTTCTGTTTTAATCCACCCGTTTTCCTCATGATTATTTAAATTAAACTCCAGTTAACCACCTGTTCATTGCAGAAAAGGAAGAGAAAGAAAAACACAAGAAACGAGGCAAACACGTGAGTTAAACAACGAGCACACTCTGGATTGAGCAGGCCTAGTCTTCTACAAGCCTTTCCGAGTGCCCCATTTATTTGGCACCGTGTCCTTGGTGTAAGAGTCCATGTTACAACTGATACTTTCTCAGGTGTCATGATGTATATTTTCCAATATAACAATGTCATCAGGTGTTATTGCTTATTTAACAACCACTGCCTTGGCATAAACAACATGTATTCTTTATGTGAACGGCGGCTCTCTGTAAACATATGTTAAACCCTCGCTAAACCATGATGAGCAGCGGGTCGTATCTTCACGTGTCGGGCAGTCGAGACCACTCACAGACCTTTATTGTAAGTCACAGTCTTACAATCTGTTGCCATGGCGATCTCCGACTCTAGCTGATTCACACTGATCTGTGGGAATCAAAACAGAACAAAAAGGTCAATAGTGCAAATGGGGATATTTGGCACAAGCTGCCAGATACAGCTAGCTTATACAGAGTGTGTGCATGCATCCATAATCATCTACACAAGCTGCTACTTAAAGATTTGAAGCACTTTCATTTGTAACTAAATAATTCTTAAAGGCTTTAAATGTTCTGTATTTACTGCTAATGTGCAAAAGGAGCCAATTTAGCAGATTAAAGTCTAATTTGAGGTTTGCATCTCCTAATGTTTGAACCAGGGACAGATGGCTGTTGGTGTTGGAGGCAGAATCCTAATCAGACATCTTGGTAGGTGTGAAATGGGGAAGTGGGACAAATTGAGAAGGCGGGGGGCCAGGGGAGCGGGGCATTCATGTTGCTTTTTGGGGAGTTCTTTTTTTCATCTGCTATCCTTGTGAAAGTGCAAAAAGGACTTGTGAGAGAAAAACAGGCCCCTCCGTGGAACGGGAGGCAGCTTTTCACAGGACTGTTGGCGGCACATATGTCTGAAGTTTTTTGCCATATGGCTGTCTGAGCTATTTCCAGTGGTAATTAAATCCTAAACATTTTAAAGCCAGAGCTGCTTGGTATGTGTCAGCAAGTCATTTGGCAAAGAGAAGACAAAGAGAGAGACAGAGTGAAAAACAAAATCATGCCATTTAATGAGTAGAATGACACATACTGTGGCAGTAAGACTAAAGATAGATAAGTGATAGCCTGGATGGCATCAGTGAATAAAAGGTAATAGAGGCTCTGGGCAGATCATAACAAAGAAAGTTGCGTCTCAGGGGGCTGCGCCTCATTAGGAGCGAGCCTCCGTAAATCTCATCCAGGAACGTTTAAAGGGTCAGGAGACTCCAGTCACCAACATCAGTCAGTGATGCACACCTGAACAAAACAGGTATTAAGTACAGTTAGACCTGAAAGAGGTAAAAACGAAGCCAGTATTCTTATCAGTTATGACACTGATCCCAGCATCTGCTACATTAAAGCTTTTATTTTTCTTATCTGACTGATTTAATGTTTTGAATTACCACTGTAATCACAACAGGCACATGAAGAACCATAATAAATTAGTCTGGTAATCTAAAATATTTAATGTCATGTCTTTTTTGCTGCCCTTCCGTTAAACTGATGTCACATAATACTCGTTCAGCTTATACCCAGTACACGATAGCTATCACATTTCACTGCCTAGGAACTGAAATGGAAAAAGTAACAGATGTTTGGTTACAATGAATAAAAGAACTTGATGCCATAAGCAGCAGCAGACAAGAAATAAGAAGATGACACCTGCAGAAACTCAAATAGAAAATGAATAGTAAACGTGTCAGTTGATTGTTGCAGTGTAATAAAAAAAAAAAAAATCTAAAGATGAAGACAAAACTTTAAAAAAAGTAACAAAGCAGTGTTAGAAGGCCTGTTTTAGTGCACTATTAAATAGCGTCAAAGTGGATCCTAGAGGAAAGGTGTATTCCCTTTTGGAATGATGTACCTGGGACATCTGTGGGAAGAGACTGATGGCCAGAGGCAGAGCCAGGCTGAAGGCAGCGAGGACGACCAGGCTGTGGATGGGGAGGATGAGCCTCGGCTGTCTCTGCAGGAGAGGGAGCCTGGTGGGACAGAGGAGAAGAAAAACACCTCCACTTTATCCCTTTAATTAATATCATGTTTAGTAAATGTACAAACAGATAGGTGGTGATGCCAGTGTTCATCTCCAAAAAACAGAAGTCCTCAGGAGCTGAAGCTACTTTTTAAAATGTTAAAATACAATTACAGAGTGAGTCCTGGCAATTCATCCTATTTGCTGAAAACTATTTTAGGTTTTGGCTCAGAAGTGACAATTTAAGCAGTGTATGCGGTCCTATTCAGCCTAAATCAGGAACATCAAAAGTTCTGAACAGAAAAATGTCATGAAATGACAGTCAGCTCTTCTCTGGCTTTCTACTCCCTTCTCTGCACAATAACATCTGTCGAACATGCAGGGACACACAGGCCACATGAGCCCACAAACAGAAAGCAGGAAGATGAGCACTTACTTACAGCATGGATCAGTAAGTGCACAACTCAAAGATTTTATTAAAAATGAATTCTTAATAAACATATTGGCTATTACATCAATGACAGTACTTTAGGAACTTGAAGCTCTAAAAGGACCTCCAATGAAATCTGTCACATTCAACACCATAAAGCTGCTGTTTAGGTAGAGATTTAGAGACCATAGATGGAGTTTTACCATTTGTTTAAACTTTTACATTGTCATTTGTTTGATGTGTTGGGAAACATAACTCGTCTGTATAATCCCTGACAAACACCCTGCTTTCTATTTGAAGAAACAGATTTTTAAGAATGCTGCATAGCGTTATCTCCAGAAATACATTTTCTCATCTCAGCCTATGTTCCTTCTCCCTGCTCGTTGCCCTCCGTAGTATAATATCCTCTTCAGTGTGTGGGACAGCGAACTCAGCAGGAGCTTGAGAAAGAGCCGCTCCATCTCTCCTCCGCTAGCGACGCCTCTCCCCCTAACGAGGAGAGCTACTGCCTAATGAGGGAGCTCATTAACACATATGGCTGCCATGGTTTAATTAGGCTACACACACACGCTCATATACACACAAATGTGCAAATACACATCTCAGAGGGAACTGCATGACAAAGAGAAGTCAATGAGAGAAAAATTGTGAGGTATGTGATATACGAGTTATGAGGGAAGTTTGGGGGCAAGTTTGAAAACCTTCCAACCAGGTGAAAAATGTGATGTTATCCAAAATTAATGACAAACTCAAGCAATACAGGCTGCATTCACATGCTAAAAAGAAAATGTTGGCAGAGGTCTTACTCAGGTTTAACTGTTTACATGTCCTCTGACTGGGCCTCTCGAGTGCCACGAGCAAACCAATTAACAGAATATCCATGGTGACTTGTGTTACAGTGCTCTGCAGTTTTTTAAAAAGTTTTCTGCTTCAGAATAGAAACATGCTAATTTTTTATGGACTTTGAGCTGCCAAATTCAAATTTGACCTTTAAAAGAGCTGATTGTTTTTAAGATATTTAGCCATTTAGGTTTTATGCTGACATGCAAAAAACTGTCAAGTAAAGATAATGACACCTTTTTGACTTTAAGATAGAATCTGGGCTGAAGTACATGATGAATTGATGTGTTGAGCTGAGGTATGAACACAAGAAGCCCCTTTGTTAAATGAAATCTGAGTGGTGTGTACCGCCTGAGACACAACACCAGCCTAATATCTCACCTATTCAACTTGCTGTATCAAAAACAAATAGTTTTGTCATTAGAGTTTTGGTTCCAGTTTCTGGTTTTGTCTTCAGTAATCTGAGTTTGGTCGTTTTTAGGCAAAATTCATACACTCCCAGTGCCATATCTTACAAACCAGGGCCAAGCAGCAATTTTAGATTTCATTTTGTTTTCATTGGCCGAGAATCTGCAACGACTGATTATTTTTGATTCGGAAGCCATTTGGTTGTAGACCAGCGTTATTTGAAACATTGGTACAACAATTAGAGGGTTGATACCCGGACCAAGCCTGAGGGTTCAGGTTGGGGTTGGACAGAAATGTAGAAATCATGTTCGGGTTTGGTCACACAGGTCAAACCTTAGGCTAAGTGGACATAACGGCACTTCTAAACATTTCACTTGTAAAATAATCCATGCTTCTTCTTTAGTGAAATTTAAAGTGCTAGGCTGTTAAAGATTAAACTATTGAGGCTATAGTAGCTCTGATGCTTCTGGTTAAGTGCATGACAACACTATCCATGATATTAGATGCACAAGGGCCACACTAGAAAAATAACACACACACACAACTGTGCTGGGCTCAGGTCAGGTTTGGACATGAATTACAATATGCTTATTGGGTTCAGCCACCACACTCTCAGGCCCAATCCATCCTCTATCAACAATATGCTACTGATTATGAAAACAATCAACAGCATAGCCTAGAAACAATAAACAGTAATAGTTCTACCTGAACCAAAAGGTTCTAGTGTGGCATTCTTTTTAAAGAGTTGTCAAAATCCTCTTCTTAGTTAGGCGGGTGTGACCAAAGCCCTAACCCTAAACATGAAAACCCGAATCCTAGATAGAAGGAAGCATTTGACTGGTGTAGCTTTGTGGCTGCACATAAGTACAATCTCCCACGTGTTCCAGTATAAAATCTACAAGGAAAAAAGAAAAGTTTTATGCTGCTGCTAGTATTTATACAGAGTTAAGCTAACCATCCCTTGGCTATTAAGAAAGCAAGGTGTCAAACTGACATTCTGAGTGAATGCATATGTAGCTATAGACAAGAAAAAAAACAACTGAAAATAGACCCGTTTCTTATACTTTTAGGCACGTACCCTCTCACAGCTACCCAAGCACATGAAAGACAGAACCTGCTGTCACTGCACTAAACCTGCTCTCAGCAGCATAATCAATCACTGAGGGGCCGCCCAGGGAGCCGTCGTTGGTCGCGTTCTCACTCCATTGAGAGCCAGTGAAGATGAGTGGACATAGAAGATAGCAGAGCGCTACTCAACTGTACCCACAGTCAACCCCACTGCTCCCTCTCTCTCCTCCTATTCAGTCACTCAGCTGCCAGAAATCCTAAACACACCTGGGCAGCTAGTCCAGTTATCTGAACCCAGCTGCTCGGAAGGATTTACAAAGATGGCTGCACTCCTCGGCACCGTCAGGCCAGCGATCACAGGACATCCGTATAAACACAATGCATCATTAAGGCATCACAAAACACTGAATCTCAGTGATGAAAGGGTTCACTGACTAAGTGAGTGGGCTTATTAAACAATAACAGTTTTACACAGTTCATGTGTCAATTGTCTTTAATTAGGAGTCATTTGTATTTGTATTAACCTACCCTGCATTATAGGGGTTTTACCACTTCATTAAAGCAATAATTTACTTTTAAATAAATAAAAACTACTTTATAACACCAATAATAACAGAATTACTAACATTTAGAATCAGAAGAATCAGAATAATTTATTTAAATAAATAAATAAAATCAATCATTCATTTATTTTTGCTATTGCAAAAACTGTGTGTTTGGTCTTGTTTTGCTAAGAAAAATCCTCAGAGGCACATCCAGTGATGCAGTGTGTGCAGCTACACCTCAGATGCAAACCATTGTAGTTTAATTACTACACAATTAATATGTAACATTGGCAAACAGCTGTGAAAGAAAGCCCTTAAAATACAAATGCACCACGATAAAGATTTCTACTGAATTAAACATTTTAGAGGTGAAAAAAGAAGCCTGTGCTCTTTGGCAGACAAACTAGTACATAACACAGATGCTACATCTAAATGACCTCAAGCATATTTTTGGCATTTCTGCACTGGCTCATCCTTGTTTGAGATGACATACACCTTACACAAACACAGATATAAGAAGCTAATGTGGACCAATTTAATCACTAAACTGAAACTTTGTTTCTCTATAAAACACTGAAAAAGTTCATTCTGCTGACTTTCGCCTGATTAAAAGTGAGTGATGAAGATCTTACTTTTCCACGACAGCCATGATCATGGGAGGGAGTATCAAGATGGGCATAGGCAGGACCACTCTGGTCAGGGCTGTCTCCAGAAGTGCCTGTCACAAAAATCATAAAACAACCTTAGGGTGTTCAGGAAAAAACTCATAAATCTTAAGTTCAAACTTTGGTGTCAACCCTAATTCTTTATTATTTATAGTTTATGTAGTATTTAGAAACACAAAGTAAAAAAACATAGGTTTTCTGAGGTAAGCGACATACATGCCTGGCAGCTACTCTGGATGTTCCCACCACGTTCCCATTGTTGTCGAGTACGCTGATGCCCTCCGACAGCTCAGAATGTCTCATCAGTACCACGTTGCAGACGTTTGCACTTGCTGTGAAGAGGTGAGAATACTTTGTTATCTCACAAATGAGCATGCTGTCCTTTCACACTGGCTGAACTGCAATATCAGGCAGTTTGTGCAGTGGCCTTGGAGCAGAAAGGTGCCAGACACCTTGCTCAGGGAAGATGGATAAACCTTGAATGGCCTCAACTGTAGCATCATCAGACTGTCTGAACAGTATTTTTTTTTTTTTTTTAACCAGAGGATAATTTCTCAACCTCCCAAGATTCCTGTGATGATGAAATAATTATTCAAAGATCATGACAAAGTGTTCTAGCCATGTTTTCAGTTGCCAAAAATAAAGGAATTGTGATGTTGAAATCACAAAGCAGCACGATGTTTTCTCATGGTCATGAAATGATAATTTTATGACATCAACAACACATGTTGATACACTGCGCTGAGTCTGACAAGCTGATGGCTGGTCCACTACTTTAGGTCAGACTGATTAATGCAACTGTTGGATGGGTTTCCCATAAAGTTTTGTACAGCCATTTGTGATCCCCAGACAATCAGGCCTTCTGACTTCAGTCTTATCTTCTGCCCATTTTAGTTTTTTTAGTGAAATGTCACTGGATGGATTGTCATGAAGTTTACTACACACATTCAGGTTCCCCTCAGGATGAACTGTAATAACTTTGGTTATCCTTTAACCTCTCATACAGGCAGAACCACCACAAGCAGGTCCAAATTTGATTTTGTTCAGTCCATTGGTTTATGACCAAAACAGGTTTAGTGCTAATTAGCTAATCTTAGTATGGACAGAGACTCTGTTTAACATATACAGACGGCTGATAAATGAAAGGACAGCACAACATAAAGTGTCTCACTGAGGAACTCGGCCACCAGAACAGCTTCACCTTGGCATCGACTCTCCAAGTCTGTGAAACTCTACTGGAGAGATGAACACCAAAGCAACAGACAAATCAACAGACAACATAAGTAATGTGACTCGACAAACGGCAGAGCTGCTCGCCTGGGATGTGCTCACGAAAGCCAAAATGAACACAAATGTATGTCAATACAGACTGACCTTTCTCCTTGACTCTAATAGGAATAAGAAAAACTAATTGTAGAGAATTTAGTGGTGGTGCCGCAAGCCGTTTTAATTTATGACAGCGTTCAGAGTTATCTTTACTACGGGCTGCAGGGCGCTCTGTGAGAGGAAGTCAACTGACAGCAAGTAGCTTTTTACCTGCAAAGCATTTTCATTCCTATCCAGACCTATTAACGGAGGCACAGATAGTGGGATTTCGCCAATGAAAAACAAACTAAAGCAAACAGAACAATATTTCAAAAGCCTGTCTGCAATTAAATAATTGATTGATTGTTATTCTGAAATGTGTGGCTGTCCTTTGTAATTACTTAAAATAACATTTGTGTACATTCCAATTGTCTTCTGGCAATCAGCACGAACTTTTCAGACAATTACTTCCTAAATAACAATTGACAGTTTTTTCAAAAGTCAACGAATGAATTGTCGTCATAAGTTTCTGCCAGCACAGCATTCCCTGCAGGCACGGTCTTCAAATTCTAAATGAATGACAGGCTGTTTGCTTGATTAGGTTATTACAAATAAATCTAGCCTTAAGTAAGAAAACAAAATCAAGTGGGTGAAAATTCAACTCCAATTTGCTTTTGCTCGCTTCAATTAGCCATTTTAATTACTTCTTATATGGGTCTACCAAAACAACAACAGCAATAACAATGAACAAACAGAAATCAGGTAAATGAGGCCTCGACATAGACGCCACTTTAAGGGTAATTATCCAATTTGTTTGCAGCAGCAGAGTTCTAACAAGCAGCCAATTACCAGAGACTGTGCTGTAGAAACCTGTTGATTTAATTAGAAACGCCATGGTAAGGAAGGGGGGGGGGCAGGCAAACAATTTAATTACGCGCCAGCAGCCCGGGGCATTCTGGGACACGGGTCTATACCCCTGGGTGTGACTGTGTGTTGGTGGGAGAGCAGCATGACAAAGCGAGCTCACAACACGTCTCTGAGGCTGCAGAGAGGGAAACGGACTGTGAGGAGCAGAGCGAAGCAAATCGCTTAGTTGTGCCTGGCTCATGATCACAGAGCACTTCTAAAGGCAGACATGACACTGAGTATTTTTTTTTTTATCCCACGTGTTGCAGCAAGATGTTTACCCATGACATCTGAAACCTCGCATTAGGATAATAAATGGACTCAAAGTTAAGATTATTTTTTGTTGTATGATATCATGCTAGAGAAATGAAAAATTGACTATTTATTCTTATGCTGCACAGACATTTTGGGCAGACGTCCTTCCTCGGCGTGCAAGACAGCATGCGCTTTAATTTCTAGTTAAATCCACCACTTTGAAGGTTTATTTTGAACTGGAATCATCTTCCTCTGGTCTGAATCTGCAGTGTGAACTCAATTTTAAAATAATTTGGTTTAAAAGGCCATTTTAATCTAGAACTGGCCCCAATCCAATGTCTGTCCCTCGAAGTGGTTCGCTGAGCTTTTCGAACTTACCCACTGCTGGGAAGGGGACGAACCTCTGCACCAAAAGCCTGGTGTTTGGGCTGAGACGGCTTGCCTTCTGGATTAACACGTTCAAGCCAACCTAGAAACACATTATAAAGGCAAATCAAACTCTAAATCTGTTTTTAAAATGAATTAAAGCACAGGAATGTATTCAGTATGAGATACAATAATAAAAACACTAAATATCTGGAACAAATCTTTGAATACATTTATGTTTCAGGGAGCTATAAAACATGATTTGAGCATCAAGAAGCACTGAAACAAAGACTTCAGTGTCACAAACAGTATTAAATGTGACAAAAACTCTGGGCCTGCATATAGATGATTAAATAAATGACTGCACTGTATTTTAACGCACTAGAGGACTCTATTAAAAAGGCTATGTGCCCTCTGATGATACACCACCATGCAGCTCCAGACCCTGGCTCTCCCCAGCCCAGCAGGAGGTCGTCACCAGAGCAGATGTTTAATTGGAGAGCTCTTGCCCCCCTTCCACTCTGTTGTTCTGCCCTCCAGACACCCCATGAGTTTTTCTTCTGTGCTTGTTGCCGTTGTCAAGCCTGAGGGCAGCAGCCGGATGGGCGCCCAGTGGGACCAGTAATTGGCTCATTTTGAGTCCCATGTCCACGCTAAGGGTTGTGCCAGGCAGCTGTGTGAACATGTATTATGGGCTTTTGACATTTTGAGTCACTGATGACACAGCAGTAAGAAAAAAAAAGATTTAACTGATTAGGGTATTTTGAAAGCTGGTGTTCCAGGGTTTATGCTGACAAAATATTGAAAATGTTTTTATACACCATGTTACAGCAGAAAAAAAAAAAACGTCTGAAACGACCACCTTTAATGATTAATGACATTTTATAGGCTCGCAAGATGAACAGGGTATAACCTCCAGGACATATGACAAACAAAGGACTCCGGGGAAAATATAAATATAATTTGATTACATACTATATTTAAAGATATTTTCTGTGGATAGACACGTCCAGTTCTACTCACAGCAGGCCAGTACTACTGCTCTGCCTCTGGTAAAGGAAAAGGCGTTATGGGAACTCACAGCAATGGAGACTGCACTGGTCACTGCTCCAAAGTAGCCCTGCACAAATTTGGATACTGGAGCCGGCTGAGGAAGAATAACAATAAGAAAGCAGTTCATGCAGCTCACCGTTCATGCAGCTCACTGTTCATAGATGCAGTACAGTATCTGTACAAATGTGACTTGGTCAGTTTATTGTTACCTTGGATGCATTACGGTTGCAGTAGTTGACACAGGCATTATGACTCTGGTTTAACCACTGACAAGGAAAGCAAGTCACAAGAAGTAACGGTGTTGATACAACATTCAAACATTAGTCTGTGAATATAGGTGCCACCTTTAGCATCTTCGTTATGTCCTTGTCGGATTAAAGGTATAGTTGTATAATTACTGTAAGCAGGTGAGACCATGTGCACTCCAGTCTTTGTGAAAACAAATCTTTAATAAAACAATGTAACAAGATAGGAATTAAACCTCAGGTTTTAATATTTTAATCCCAGATTTTTCCATGAATTCCACAGCTTGACAATTTATTACACTCAAAATTTTATTCCTAAGAAATAAAGTAAATGTACATAAGTAACATACAAGTATTTAGAGCTAATGCATTAAACATACAACTGTGCCAAATGGATTCTATGATATCGTGCCATCTGTGTCTTCCTGTTGCTACACATGGCCTGTGCACTATCCAAGCACTCGTGTTAATTTTGTTGCCATTACTGACACTGCAGCATCTTATTGTCATATGGTTGTGTTTCCTAACCTGCCACCTCATTGTTTTCAGAACATCCTGCTAAAGAACTGCACTTGGAAATAAGTCAGCTGGCTAACACTGGCACATTTACCGAAACGTTGATGTTGTCTTTATAAATAAATCACACGAAACTGAAAAAAGGTTTTGATGATATCATGTCAGCCTTTACTAGTCAAGAACTAGGTATTTACCTGCCAGAAGACGGTAGACACCAACGTTTGATTTGGGAGAAGGAGGCCAACAACCTGCACAAAAACAAAATCCTTTAGAAAACAACTATAAAGGACTAGACAAAAGGAAAGCACTGTAAATGATATAGTGATACAATATACATATGTAAATACATTTCTTTTTAGCCTTGGTCTACATCTTATTATTGAAATGTATGTCAAGTCTTACCACTGGTGTGCCAAAAGGGATAAAACCTGTAAAAGACAGGTATTTTCAGTGTTACCAGCTCATAAACGGCTCCTCCAAAGTCATTCTGCTACCAGATTTAATCTTTTTAATATATCACTGTTCTAATATCCCATATTTCTAAATATTTGAAAAGTGATTTGCCTCAGAATCCTGACAGTTATTCATATTAGTCTGTGCACGTTAAGACAGAGCAATGGGATTCTGCAGCTTATTCCCATTTGACTGACTCATTCAGTACAATGGTCCTAACATGGTATCGTTTCTCTTCTTCTTCTCTCACACCCACTCTCTGACACTTCAAAGCTGCCTTACAAAAAAGGTGCTTTGAGACTGGACCAAAATACTTGTGTTTGCTTCTTCGGAGGCCTCAAGAACATCTCCGTCACTGTGGGAGAGAGGTTTTAATCAGCGCCCAGCTGAGTGTGACCTTTTCCAGGCCCGGACACCCTGAAGAGCTCCGTTGAGCTGTGACAGTTCCCGGAGTGAATGACGCCTCCATGTTGGACTACATAACAAGCCCCTAGATCCCACCTCCCTAAGGTTTCCACACCAAGCTACTGTACCCGACATCCGAAAGGGCATGAGGATCTTCTCCCCAGTGTCAGGGTGGATGATGGCCTGTAGAAAGTAATAATTAAACCATAATGAACCCAGAATTACTTTGATTAATTAGGTTCAAATGAAAAGGCTCTATCATGTCTGAATCCAAAGTTTGCCCCATTTGATATACATAGTCCTGTTAAAATTGCCTCTTGCTATTTGGCCTTTACAGTAAAGCCAAGCAGTTCACAATATAACACACTTGGCAGTCGACATCAGCTCACTTCTAGACTGTGCTGATCTACATCTGTATTTAGCCATTCAATATGAACAAAACACTGAGATCTGATGGCTTTAAAACTTTTTTTTCCAATTGTAGAAAATATACATATATAAAAAAGTGAGTGGCAACTCATTACTTGAATGGGAAAGAAGACCAAACTCAATTTCATGCTCATTTCACTTCAAAACAAATACAGTTAAAAAAATTGTTTAAATAATGAAGTTTTATTTAGAAGTGTTATGAATTTTAAAAGCTGTTTAACTCTTGAACATTTGTTGCTGTGGCTATCTCCACATTACTGTAAATGATTTTCTGCCATTCTGAACACCTGCATCAACTATCAGACGTCTTTCAAAGCTGATAATTAGCAGTAGAGTTAAAACCTTTTTTTAATTATTATTTAGGGCACTTACATCATCATTAAAACATTTTTAAAATGTTGTGTTTCCATGTCTCTATTCATTTTGTTGTATAAACAGGTAGGTGTTGAGCTGAGGCACAAAGTTGGTGTCAGATTTGCCAAAACACCCAGACATGATAACGACAGTGATCACAGTTGGTCTGAGTTTGTGTTTTAGTGATTAAAGAAGGAGAATGAAAAAGAGAAGCATCTTACCTGCTTTATTTTCTGAGCTTGCCAAAGCTAAACAGAAAAACAATAACCTTTAAAAATTAAGTACTAGGGTTGGGCATCGTCTGTGTTTTCAGGTCATTATATTGTCATCACCAGCAATGAAAGACAGACAATCCAGCTGCTTCTGGCACCAGACGGGTCGTACAGCTGATGTCATTACATTGTACTTTAGTTACATTTATCAGACAATGTAATAATCATAATCATGACACATGAACACAGGGGAGCACAGAAAAGAGCCGGGGGAGCGACACTCACGGCCGTACGGACACGTGCATGGTAGTGCTACTTAAACCTTGGAACATAGCAGACATACTGTACAACACACACACCTGTGAGTATCAAACAGTAGCAGCCGGCATATGGATAACAGACAGGTGTTTTTGTTGTACAGTGCACTTGTCAGGATTGGCAGATGGAACAGGAAGCACAGACAGGTTGATTTAAATTAAGGAGTCTGCTGATTAATGGTGAAAAAAAGTCTTCAGTTGGCACAAGCCCACTAAACTAAACAACCTAGACAGTAAGTATTTCAACAGGCCAGATGATAATGTAATGGTAAAACTTTACTGGTTTATTTACCAGGGACAGTGCACTGGATGTACCGTTTATTAATTAAATACATACAATTTAAAACCAAAAAGCTAAAGATGCACTGAAATGGGAATCAGCTGCTTTTAGGATATGTGTCCATAACAATCTTTGCTTTTTAACTTCTACATGCTTCACACACATTGGTTCTTTCACCCTTCAGTGGTTCAATCAACAGATGTCCCTTTTCACACCAAACACACCAAGAAAGAAAGAGTTTGAGAATTTAAACTCCTCAAAAACCTCTCTATCACCAGAAAGACTCTTTTAATTGACCCTATGTGAGTTTGTCAGCTGAAGTTCTTGTGTCTTTACCTGAGCATCTGTCACTCCTGAGGGAAGAGTTCCTTGTTTGAAATGGTCGAGCAGCTCCACACACTCCTGCAGCTGTTTCTGAATTGACAAAATAGATAAAAATCAGCAAACTGTAAGGTGAAATAAGGGCAGTTTTGTTTCTGGAGAGTTCAAATCAGCTTAGAGACAAGTAGAGAGCAAGTCATATGGTTCAATGTGCATAAATTGTGTTTCACTAAAACTTTCATGCTGATTTTCAGTTGACAAATGAGTTTCCTAAAAGGTAATGAGCAGCGTTCTGTGGTGTGATCATTGTCTAATACTGAGAAAAATACAAGGTCATGTGGCCCAATTTGTTCTAATGAGCTTGCCTTTTGTGTGTCAGTGTGAGTGCGTGTGCACATTCCCTTCTCTGTATTTGTGTGTTTGACACCATTAAGGAGTGCACTGTTGCCGGTGTGCACATGAGGTGTGTGCGCGGTCGTACACAAAATCATTCCTACTCCCCTCTCGTCATTAGGGGCAAGTTGAGGCTACGCCTGGCCCAGTAGGGTGCAAGGTGTGTGTGTGTGTGTGTGTGTGTGTGTGTGCGCACACACTCTTCACCCCTCACAGCTGCCCCACTTGTCCACACCTCATCACATCCCAGGAGATACTGCCGCTATTACTGTCACCAAAGAGCCCGCTAACAGCTTCATTACCCCGAGCACCAGAGCACTGATGACACCGTGAGCAAATTACCACAACACAGCCAAGAGCTGCAGAAATGTTACGACGGACAGAGCAGCCCAGCATTTAGAGAGAAGAAACTGAAAACCGAAAGGTCGCAGATTTGTTCTCAGTAACAGAATCCCTAAGTACGGTAATAAATCAGTCATATTAAGTCATTTTAAAAACAAAGTCAGGAACATGTTATGCAGTAAAAGGACCAAGTCAAATTCAGGGCATTTTAGATTTTCTTCATTTCCTTTCTGTTTCTCCTTCAGTAATGTTGGCTATTGTGCTTCATATAGTATTACTGTGTAGTAAAAGAGACTTGGTAAAACTAAAAAATAATGAAAAATTTGACCAAATACATGCCTGTTCTCGGCAGGTTTCATCTGATTATCTCAAAAACAGTAAATGGAAAACACAATAATGCCAAAGTGGTCAAGGAATCGTATTATGAGGGTCAAACTATCATGGGAATATTGCTTTTAGGGGAAATGGCATGGAAAAATGGCAAAGTGAGCTGCCTTGTCGGAGGTTTGCACTCTCTGAGTCTTGTCCAATTGAGTTTATATACCTCTGTCACGAAGAGTGTCCTGGGGTCAATCACATCCAGGAAGTGTCTGAACCGACCAAAAAATGTGTTCTAGAGGGCGAAGAAAACACACAAAAAAAACATTATCCTTAATGCCACATCAAATGAAAAGACATCACTAAACTATTCAGTTTATATGACCTTTAATTTCACTAAATTACTCATGTAAACACTATTACCGGTTGGACTTAAGAGCTATTTGATGCATTATGTGGTCTTTAAGGGTTTGAGTTTTCAATATGTGTTCACTGCAATACCTGATTTTGGATGAGAAAGTTCAGAAAATCTTACTTTCCATCTACTTTATTGGTGAAATAAGTCAGTGTTTGCTCACACATAGGCAGCCAAATCAGACTCGGGATTGTTTCTTTGAGCAGAGAGATTCCAGCTGTCACCCAGTAAACTGACATTACAGCGTGCCAGCTGTTTTAACACACCAGGTGGAGCTTCCTCATTAATATCTCAGACAAACTGTTTCCTATATGCATCTTTTAGGAACCTGAATACACTCACACCATTTGCAATTAATTTCTATAATAACTGTGCCAGAAATACCTTCTGATCATTTATTCATTACTGAGCATAAGGAATCATTTCAGAGATACTGCAACACACAATGGTACCACCCTTCCCCCCCCCACCCTCCCCAACTTGGGTTTAATTACACTACCTGCTAATTTGGATGAAAATCTGGTTTCTGATTCACTGCTGCTCCTTGTGAGTTCCTGAACATATGGATGGTTGGAGAAAAACATGGAATGGGGGAATAGTTTTTAAATCTGTTCAATTACTCACCAGTGCCACTCCTACCTGACCAGTTTGAGCTGACACTGGTGAGTAGTGGAAGAGAGGAGATGTGCCGTACTTGTAATTTAAGGCTAACAGCAGCTACTCTGTGACCATCAGACTCCATGAACCTGATCTTGCCAATGACTGAAAATGTTTAACTAAGTAATTAGTCACATAATACTAAATCAACATACTGTACATGGTACATTTTAAAAGTGATACTGATCCAAGTGTACCTTTTATGGTTTAAGTTTATCAAGTATATTATACATATTTGGTCTGATGTTACTTCTTCCATTATTGATCACATCCTTCCTGAATTTGTATGGTTTTGAACATGTGTTTGCTTTTCAAGTCTATGCTACCAGTCACACATTTGGACACACGTTCCCATTAAATTGTACTCTCTATGACTGTATGACTGGACACAGCAATCACGCCAGTACAATAAATAGTTAATATAACCATCATATATATATATCAGTCTGAAAGCTGCTGTAATGTGATGTATGTTTACTTATAAATACTACCTCTCTTTCTCATTCTTTTCCTATTTTTGATTGCACATATTACTATGTGAATGCACACATTTTTTAATTATCTTTGATATTTTTTATTGTTTGTTTGTTTTCATTGCCATTATCTCTGGGGACCCCTAAGCTCCAATCGACCTGTTCAGTAATCCGAGCATCAGTTCAGACTGTGGATTTACTTCATTCTAGCTAACTAGCTAGCTAGCTAGCCAACATCTGTATAGCATCTCATCTACCGGCATTTGGTCAACAAGTCTAAATTTGATTTGGTTATTGACCCTGTAAGAGGTATCTTTATGATATGTATGAGATGTACTTTTGTGCTGTTAAGTCATTAGAACCAGTGGATTCGCTGTTTGAGACGCTGACGTTACTTTAAAGATAATGCTAAACTAAATGCTGGAAGTTTACAAATCACGCTGCGTTCAATGGTCCTAGGATTATTTAAACTTCAACCCCATCCGCCCTCTGAACTTCTATTTTACTCTAGCGTAAAGATCCCACAGCTTAAGTTCTAGGGAAGTTAAGTCTGTTTCCCCGTAAATGTCTGCCCCATCTTGAACTAAACCTTCTTTTACCATACCTCTAAGCAAATGTGTTTCATGATGTCAAACTTAACGCCAACCTGACCCCCAACCAGTTACCTTTGCCTGCTCCCGAGACTTGCTATCTAAATGTAACATGGAGAAAGTGCCCGTGAAGTGCATTCTAGCCTATAACATTAACGCTATTTGAGCAGTTATATAATGCATTATATTATTGTTGTACAAGAGAGCTGGCTGACAGTTGGGATATTAAGCTGCTGCTGCGTTCAGGTTCCAAGTAGCTTATTTGGACTTTAAACCCATTGGCCTCTGAACTTGATTTCAAGCCCTGACTGACTTCAGAAAAAGTGTCACGTTTCTAAAGTTGTAATATTTTTGTTTCATTAAAAAAAAATAAACAATCTTTTCTCTGGCACGAATTAACAAACCGGTTGGTACACTTTACCAGTATTAAACCCAAACATGTGGGTTGTTTAAAAGACAGGCTAAAGCTCAGGCAAAATGCCACTAGCTAAAGTTTTATTACATCAACTATGGCTTTGGATTCAAATAAGCTATAGGAGAAGATGTACCCTTCTTCGACTGACCAAATGTTTTAACATATGTCCACAGATGCCTGTGGTGAAATAGTCCACTTAACAATTAGCCAAATAAAGGTAGCCTACCTGGTCGAAACGAGGCTTGCCAAACTGGAAGGCCGGATATGCGGACATGCTGTTGCTAACGCACGCTAATATACACTAGTCGTTTCCTTCTGCGCGGTTATAAAACGCTTTTCTCCAACAATTTATGAGAGTAGCAGTTGCAGAGCTGTACGGTCCATGTTCAGCTGTTCTCGGGCCGGGATGCATTAAGGGTAATGTAGTTTTTCTCGCATGTTTTAACAAAACATGTTTTGGACGTTTGGAAAGCGGACTACACTTCCCAGAAGAACATGCAATGTTTTAAGAGAGAAATTAAAGAGAAAAGTGTCGTGTATCCGATCTAAATGCGAGACATTTAGAGTAATAATGTTAAAGCGCTAGTGGTTGTATTATAGAGGATAACATAGCCCTCTGGTGGAGGCTCTGGAGTAAAGGCAGTAAATTGTGCAAAATATCACGAACACCTAACATTTTAATTCAACGGCACCAATTACAGCCTCAAAAATAACCAAAGTCAAATAAATGCTTCTCTCAAAAAACAAATAAGTGTCAAATGTCAGAACTGTTGTGTTATATTTTATTGTAGCTACACGTATAGGAATAGCACATGTGTGGGAGTTTGGTTGGTTTTAACAATGTGGGGGTAGCTGTAATCTATTTTTTTTTTTTAAAGAACCTTATACAGCATGGGAAAGTTTAGTATAGGATCATTTTAGATATTTTCTTTTTTAGAATACATTGTAAAATTAGGCTAACAAAAAGCAAGTTAAGTTGTTAAGGAGTGTGTCTTCATTAGTTTAAAAAAAAAAGGGCTTTAATACTATTAAAATACATAAATAACTTTACATTAAAGACCTCAAATCCACCAAGGGACTAAAACTAGTAGCTTGATAACCGGATGCTTTGTATAGTTCTCTTTGCTAATAAAGAAGAGCCTAACAAATCCCAGTATTTTAGCAACTTGGAACTAGAAGAATGTTTAACAAGTTCCCAAGATATCAGAAACCAAAACCCGTTGTAAACACCACAAGACAACCCTGAAGAAAACCACATTCCCAAAGAAAGGTTTACAACCAATCCTACGGTGAGCAAAAAACAAAATACTCTTTATTAAATATACAAAATTTGTGAAACAATTGCATCACGAATTGTAAACTTTCCGATCTTACACACTACTTTAAGCACATTCCACCAGCTACACAATCAAGGACAAAAATACAATCAGTTTAAACTTAAATAAAAACTTTTTAAAATGGAAGACATGAAAGAGAACATTTATTCTTGCGCTTCATAAGTGCCGAGTCACATTTAATATGTCTCTACAGTCATCTATGCACTTGGTATTGCGATTGCACAGCAGAACTGAGATGACAAGATGGTTTTGGATGCTTGTTTGTACTGTATGCTTTAAGCTCACTGTTGTGGTGTCAAAGTACACCAAGTACTTAAATCACAGAGCAATTAGAAAGTGCAGTACGGTGTAGAGTGGATCTAACTATACCGACATCAGACAGACAGGTACAGTAGAGTTGTGTTCTGATGGCTAAGTAGTGCAACAACATCTACACGAGCTGTTAAAAGTGGCTTCAGAATACTTTATGGTGTATCAATCTGTTCCATGGATTAATACATTTGAAGGCTTTTTTTATTTTGGCGTTTCACAGGAAATCATGTTTACTGCTCATTTTCTGTTGGTAGGCATACAAGTTTTTCTTGTGCAGGGACCTAAACAATATAACAAAGCATAAAAATGTTCAGTAAACAGATGCTTTTCTTCTTCAAAAGCTTCCCCAAGCCCCAACATGTAAAATGAAGGTGTAGATTCTCAATAATGTCAAAACAAAACAAAAATAAGGCAGCAGTTGGCATTTCAATACAGCATATACAGTATGCTGTAAAATGCAGTATATATCGCTTTGTAAACACCTGAAAGCAGTAGCGATATGCATGCTTGAGCATAAGTGGAGGTGACACAGACACTGGGGGAGGGGGAATGAAGTACCAGCACGTCGCAGGCATTTACTCAGCGCGGTGGAGACGCGTCGATAACAGACAAAAGGGAAGGAAAAGGCATGAAATCAGAGAAGCTGTGATGGCTGATCTTGATGCTGACTGGATACTGAGTGATACTGTCTTCACCTGATAACACTGTGACCCATACAAGAATCAGTTAGCTTATGTGGCTGAGCATTATGGGTAATTTTAAAATAATGCCCACGGAACAGAAGAAAGGAGGATAAAAAGGAAGGAACAGGCAAAAGATAAACAGCACTAAACTTGTGTAGAAAGAGCCATTCACCTGCTGGCTAAGAACACTTTTGAACATTCATAAGCTACAATCAGCTGTGCACATGACACCGCTAAACTCTCACACCGCTCATTTGGTTTGTGGTTTCAAAAACTGGACAGAGGACACAGTATTTGTCAGGGAACATTTGTAGAGTGTCAATCCAAAACACCACACACCACCTGGGGAAAAAAAAGGTCTCACCCATGAATGAGAAACTGTGTAAATTTCACAATAATGCAGCCATTTTTCTAAAGTATACTTCAAGAGTAAAGATTTACTTCCTTCCTTCATGCAGCCACTGATTTTAGTTCCATTTCAGTTAAAGGAATAGCTCAACATTCACTTTCTTGCCAAGAGTTTGATGAGATCGATACCACTCTCACACCTGTGTACGGAGCTTGAGCCAGGAGCTTAGCTTAGCATTCAGACTAAAAAAAAAAAAATCGAGGAGCATGTCCAAAGCATTTAGTTGTGGTTTTATGGGGGGTTTCATGCTATAGAGAGTCTGGAAACGACAACATCCAGCCCCTGTTCACCAAGAAATAATTACAGCAACTCTGCATAGGATCACAACTTTGCTTTGTTTGTGGCTTAAAGAAAAGGTTCTAACATTTTAATTGGTAAGTTTGAGAATTATTAGCAGTAGGTGTAGTTTTTAACTGTGGACAAAGCCATGCTTTGTCAGCAGACTTCCTCCTGCTTCCAGTCTTAATGCTAAGCTAGGCTAACTGCTTCCTGACTATATTTACTGTATAGTCAGTGTTGTAGTCAATTCACTAAACGTAGTCGATTCCCCGGTGTTTGAGTCCAAACAGTCAAAGTCCCTGTTACCCAAGTCAAGAAGGTCTTAATTAAACATAATGACACAGCTCTTACCATTTTTAAAGGAGTTTACTTACTGTGTGTGACACAACAGCCCACAAAAAAACAAAAAACAGTTAAAAAGGTGGAGTGTATACTTTGATGGAAGTGTGTCGGATATAGTCCTCATATCCAACTTCCCAGTCCGAAAGCACTCAGTGTTCAGACTCAAGTTGAGTCTGACATTCAGGACTCAAGTCAGACTCCAGTGTGAGTCCTAGACTAAAGTACTACAACACTGTTTATACTACAATCATAAGAATGGTATCAATTTTCTCATCCAACTCTTGAAAAGTGAAGCGGTTAAGTAAATGTCAAACAGTTCCTTAAAACATGAGAAAACTTCTGCGGAAACTTGAAATCTACTGCAGTGAACACTTTGTTGCCTTTATTTACTTATGGCATTTGTCAGTGATGTGATCAACATCATTGCTAAGACAAAAATACAAAGTCAACAAAGTTCACTGTGATTGACTGACCTCCTGAGCAATTTTCTAAGTATCTGCAAGTTGATTTTCATGATGCACCGAAAAAAACTGAAACTACAAAGGAAATCAGTCTTCAATCAAGTTGATGGCATGGAACAGACTACACTGATTTAAAATGTTCAAAATCTGTAGTTAATGGACTAAAATATGCAAAACGACCAGGGTGTTCCTTCAAGGTGTCTCTGCAACACTTTGAAGAGCTTTAAGTTTTTGAATGACTGAGTGAGGAGTTACAGCAGTTTGATACACACCATTATGGACTGAAACTCTACAATAGCTCTATATTGTGATAATGTGAAAGGGGAAGTGAAAAGGGGGAATCAATTATTCTACAATCAGGATCTCAAAATGGAAGCATCTAAGTTTTGAACCCACAGGGCTCACTCCTCTGTGAGTTAAACTAACTGGCTGTGTGACCCTGAAAACAACCTGAGGACCAGCTACATTCGAAACTGCCCAAACCAAACCCTTCAACTAGGACACATTTCATTACAGTAAAGCCAAACATCATCTCAACACCTTTCAGTGCCCACATATTTGTATAAAAAAGGACAGCATAGCAGTGAAATGACTAAAGAGCTGTTGCGGAGGTTAGAGTGAACAGATGTGGACTGAACTGCAAACACTTTCAACCCCCGTTGTCACTTAAACTTGGAGCGCACTTGCAGGAGATTGGGCTTCTGCTCCATGATGCGCACCAGCAGCGTGTCAATGTAGTCCTCCAGATCTCTGACCTGTGGCTTTAGTTTCTTTAGCTCCACCTCCCGCTTAGCGAGCAGAACTTTCTGCTGCTCAAACTCTGCCTTCTGCCTCTCCAGCTCCGCCTCCCGCTGCACCAGCAGGGCGACCAGTTCGCTGTGGGTCAGATGGTAGTATGAGCCCGCACCTTCTGCCAGAGGCTGAAAATACAGAGAGAAGCAGATGGACAGGTAGGAAGGAAACATGCAAGACAACAGGTTCAGTGTGAAATCTTCAGCTTCCTGTGAGTGAGGTTTAAGTTTCTTAATCTGAAGCCATTTGTCTGTTCAGTCATGGCAACAATCGGTGATTATGCTGACTACATTTTTCTTTACATTGCTCTAAACAAACCAGAAAACACAGAGTGGCATGTACAGAAATTGCAACATATTTCATGAACTAGATTTAGACTGAATCAGTAACTACCTGCAGTAATTTTTACAGTGCCTTGCGAAAGTATTCGGCCCCCTTGAACTTTGCGACCTTTTGCCACATTTCAGGCTTCAAACATAAAGATATAAAACTGTAATTTTTTGTGAAGAATCAACAACAAGTGGGACACAATCATGAAGTGGAATGAAATTTATTGGATATTTCAAACTTTTTTAACAAATAAAAAACTGAATAATTGGGCGTGCAAAATTATTCAGCCCCTTTACTTTCAGTGCAGCAAACTCTCTCCAGAAGTTCAGTGAGGATCTCTGAATGATCCAATGTTGACCTAAATGACTAATGATGATAAATAGAATCCACCTGTGTGTAATCAAGTCTCCGTATAAATGCACCTGCACTGTGATAGTCTCAGAGGTCTGTTTAAAGCGCAGAGAGCATCATGAAGAACAAGGAACACACCAGGCAGGTCCGAGATACTGTTGTGGAGAAGTTTAAAGCCGGATTTGGATACAAAAAGATTTCCCAAGCTTTAAACATCCCAAGGAGCACTGTGCAAGCGATAATATTGAAATGGAAGGAGTATCAGACCACTGCAAATCTACCAAGACCTGGCCGTCCCTCTAAACTTTCAGCTCATACAAGGAGAAGACTGATCAGAGATGCAGCCAAGAGGCCCATGATCACTCTGGATGAACTGCAGAGATCTACAGCTGAGGTGGGAGACTCTGTCCATAGGACAACAATCAGTCGTATACTGCACAAATCTGGCCTTTATGGAAGAGTGGCAAGAAGAAAGCCATTTCTTAAAGATATCCATAAAAAGTGTCGTTTAAAGTTTGCCACAAGCCACCTGGGAGACACACCAAACATGTGGAAGAAGGTGCTCTGGTCAGATGAAACCAAAATCGAACTTTTTGGCAACAATGCAAAACGTTATGTTTGGCGTAAAAGCAACACAGCTCATCACCCTGAACACACCATCCCCACTGTCAAACATGGTGGTGGCAGCATCGTGGTTTGGGCCTGCTTTTCTTCAGCAGGGGCAGGGAAGATGGTTAAAATTGATGGGAAGATGGATGGAGCCAAATACAGGACCATTCTGGAAGGAAACCTGATGGAGTCTGCAACAGACCTGAGACTGGGACGGAGATTTGTCTTCCAACAAGACAATGATCCAAAACATAAAGCAAAATCTACAATGGAATGGTTCACAAATAAACATATCCAGGTGTTAGAATGGCCAAGTCAAAGTCCAGACCTGAATCCAATTGAGAATCTGTGGAAAGAACTGAAAACTGCTGTTCACAAATGCTCTCCATCCAACCTCACTGAGCTTGAGCTGTTTTGCAAGGAGGAATGGGCAAAAATTTCCGTCTCTCGATGTGCAAAACTGATAGAGACATACCCCAAGCGACTTACAGCTGTAATCGCAGCAAAAGGTGGCGCTACAAAGTATTAACTTAAGGGGGCTGAATAATTTTGCACGCCCAATTTTTCAGTGTTTTATTTGTTAAAACGTTTGAAATATCCAATAAATTTCGTTCTACTTCATGATTGTGTCCCACTTGTTGTTGATTCTTCACAAAAAATTACAGTTTTATATCTTTATGTTTGAAGCCTGAAATGTGGCAAAAGGTCGCAAAGTTCAAGGGGGCCGAATACTTTCGCAAGGCACTGTATGTGCAACTCTAACCTCTGATCAAACCCTACACCGGACCTAACCGCTCCTCTGCCTCTAGGCTTACAGCCATCCCATCACTCAGTGTCACATTATTGTAACACAGGTATACTGTACCTTCTTCCTGTCAGCGTTCTGCTCGCTGAGCTGGCTGCTCCTCCCCGGGTGGATGGTGGACTTGAGCTTCTCCAGGCCGGTGGCCAGCACTGACCGGCCCTCGGTCCGCTTCTCCTCAGCCAGCATGGCAGTGGTCAGGGGCTTCACTGGGTGGGGGCTGGACAGGGTGACAACAAGAGATGCTGTACACAGACTACACACCGGCAACACCTCTGTGAGGACTTTACACAGAGGCCTTTCAGGTGATGTAAGGGACCCGGTCTGGTTGGCATACTGGAGGTCTACAGTTCATGGACACCTGTGGCTAAAAACAGCCAGGTGTGTTTCACAAATGTACATCTTGGCCATTTGTGGTTGTGTATGAAATGGGCCACAAAATTAAACTGATGAATCGCAAACCAAATGCAGTCATTTGCATTTACACATCCCATCTTTTTTAGCCCAGATATAATAAGTTTGCCCATTATCTTAGCACACCACATTGTCCTATAGCCCTCCATGACAACAGCAGACAAGGATGACTGAGATCTACCTTCTGAAATCCCAAAAATCCCCCAGTTTAGTGATCAAGGTGTAAGAATCCTGGTAAAATACTGGTTAAAACTGAAACTAAACTATATAAGAATTGATTGCATGTGTTGGTGTAATCAAACATGTGGAACTGTGTTAAATGTGTTATTATCCTGAGGTGTAAAGGAGGTGCTGTCAGTGACACAACAACACCTTCTTGCCCTGTGTAAAGCTTGGTTTCTGGTTGAGATTTTGGCAAATGAGTGCGGCTGTGTGAGAACGCTAGCTGGCCTTGTGGGGAAGGGTGGTGTGTGTGTGTTATGAGGGAGGGGGTGTGTAGTAGAAATCAGGGCAAAATAATAACTACTAATTGGCCTGAGGCTCTAGTTCCCCTCCTGTTACCACAGAGCCAAAACCCACACCAGAGGAGTCCTGTTAACACCAATATGTGCATGTGTGTGTGTCTGAACAGAGTGATGAAAAAGAGAAGGTCACACCACAAAAGAAGAAACCCCTTGAGAATTGGCAGAAGAGAAGAAAAGCAGGAGGAAGCAGACCGGCAGAGGCAGAACGAAGAGATGACAGGAGAGAAATTTCTGAATGTTGGGAAAAGTTGTTCCCCTCCACCTTTTCACTGAGCATGTGCAAGCTCACCTGTTCTCCTGATTGGCTGCCTGCTGCTGCTGCGTCACTTGAGGCATTGGCACTGGATTTGGCGCAGCGCCTTGTGTTGCGCTGGGTGGTGACCATGCCGAAGCAATGGCAAGGAAAGGGAGGGAAGAGAGCGCTACAGGAGAGCCTTCAGGAGTTAGAGAAGGAGCGAAGGAGGACAGACAGGGGAGGTCAGAGCTTCGTTGAGCTGTGGAGGACTCCTGTATCGTACCAGGATCACTCCCAAATAAGGGCAGGGGGAGTTTGTCAAAGGAAGAAGTCAGCATGCCCTCAGAATGGGAGCGGTTTAGTGGAGCAGGTTGTGCCAGAGGGCTTTTTGAGAACTCATAATCTAAGATAAAATGCTGGCTTTCCACACCACCTTTGCTGATCTCGTTGGGATTACAGCATATGTAAGAGTCCGTCGGTGCTGCAGGAGGAACTTTCATCTCATCACCTATGGTGAAACTTGGCTTAAGAGTTGCCATCTTGTCCTCGGGTGTGCTAGATGGCCTGTGTTTGGCAGAATCTTCTAAGCACAAAGCAGCTCCAGCAGTTTGAATCTCATTCAAGTCACCACAGAGCAGTGAGTTTGCAGAGTGTAGCGTCTCGTTTGGCTCTGAGACAATAGAGTACTCAGAGGACAGATGAGACTCACAGGTTTGGTACCCCTGTGATTCAGTGCTGAAAGAACTCTGGAGAAAGCTGCTGGTGCTCTGATCACCTTGAGTGTGCAGTAGGGTGCTGTCAATATCGTTGCCAGGATTGGGCTTGAGCAAATCATCAAAAGGCCCAGAAGGCACTGGAAAAAGCTGGCTAACATCCTGTCCTCCTAAACTAGTGCCCTCAAAGGGTGAGTCTGACAAAGACCATCTGACTCTGGGGGAGGAGGTTATGATGTATAATGATGGGGTTTTGGAGCAGAGCTCTTCTTCTGGAGTGGGTGGAATCACCACATGTGTATTTACAGAGCTATCACTGACCATCTTAGAAAAATCAACTATAGAGCTGTTGTCTTTGTGTCCACTCTCATTGTCAGACTGTGACAAGACGGTGGATTTCAGATCTAGTTCGGAGGGTTTTTGCAACAGGTCAGGGTAAGTGAGATTAGAAAAGTTTAGTGTTTGAGGATCTGCACCTTCAGTTCCAATCTCCTTTGCAGTACTCATGAGATTCTGAGGTGTAAGCAATGGGGACTGTGGTGCCAATGATCTCTCAGAACCATTTGAATCTACCTTGTCATCAATATCCTTCTGCTGAATAACAGCTTCCTGGGCTACATCACCTGAAGAAGGATCATTTAGCCCGTCAGTAATGTCACCTTCAGATTCTGAGGGCTTTGAATTTTTTACCACAGCTGATTCAGAAGATTTCTCAAAGCCAAGGATCTTACTTTCAAAGTTCTGTGCTTCAGTTTCCTCAGAAGAGGATGCAGAGAAGATGTCTGAATAAGAAGAAAGCCAGGATAGTAAATCTTCCTCTGCTGAACTGCCGAGGCCTGAAGAACCAGGATCTGGGGAGCTGCTGTTTAGCGGTATCGACAAGGTGTGACAGGGGACGTGATGCATTTTAGCATCCGTTAAATCGTTTGTGTTAGCAGTACTGTTAGCTTGGTTAGTTTCAGAGCAAGCATCCTGGTTTGTAGAGTCATCAGAAGCATTTATAGTTGTGCTGTCACTCCCAAAGCTTCTGTGCTCTGGGATTGTTTCAAGGACTTGTGCAAATGTGTCAAGATGATGTTTGTTAGTGCTGCTCACCTGACTGACAGATTCATGTGCTTCAGAAACAAATTCTGTAAAAGGCTGAGAATGTAGTGTGTCGTTCACATTTGTGTTTTGATCAGCATCTGCTATGGGTACTAATGCTCCTTCACCATTGCAGCACTTCAGTGGATGGTCACTGGGTGAATTTTGCTGTGTTTTGCAATCCGGGGTCTGATCCTCGTGAGACTGCAGCCTGCCAGCTGCAAACACTTCAAAAGAGTCGTCCCACTCTGAGTCTGCTTCCATCTCCCTGCTAGACATAAAAGGGTTGGACAGCTTCTTGCTTAACGTTTTCTCTCCTTCTCCGAGTTGTTTCTCAACTTCAGCCATCATATCACTCTTTGCAACTATGCCCATAAAGGAGTCTTCTGTGGTTGGGTTGTCGTGGGTCAGAGTGGCGTTTGGGTTACTCGCCTGTGGAAAGAGGTCTGCTACGGGGAGCTGGGAACCGGAGAGACAGGGTACAGGAGGCAGCGAAGAATCTATGGGCTGAGTGGTTATTAACACATCTTCAAAGAAAGGGTTGTGCTGGAGGAGAGAAAAGAAAGGGTTGCAGGGGGCAAAGGGGGGTGGTGTGGTCTGTGAGTGGGAGAAGGGGTTAGAGTGATGCAGTGGAGAAGCCACAGTGGCAGGGGCTACAGGGACACCAGGGGGGTGGTGACTAGGTGGCAGGGGTGGTGGGTGGAGGTCAGTGCTGGGCTCTAGTGTAGGTGACACCACCAGGCTGTGAAAGGAAGCGCACACAGTCCTCGTGATTAGTGAGGATTGTTCACATGGCTGAACAGAAGACCTGCAGTAGGTTGTTTTTTTTGTCTCAAATCACGTCTTAGCTCTACATTTTTACAGAATGCTTTTGCGTACGTTCAGTTTTTCCCTAATTTATTCAAAATGCCCGGTCCTCTTTATTCAAAAACCTTTATGCTTTCCTTAACTACTCTCTGCCACTTGGGGGCAGCACTACAAGCTGTAAACACAACACTGACATATTGTTAGCACTTAATAGCAACATGATGACTAGGACTGGCCAAGTAGACACAGAGCAACATCAGTATTTGCTCAAAGTCTCTGGTCAACAAATGGATGCAAGTCCAAGATTCACTTTTAGTTCTGTTCTGATCTCCTGAGGGAGCTGCTAAATGACTGTCAGTGTTAACCAGCTAGTTACTAACTTTGTTTTTCCCCTTTTCAGTGGGGTAGTGGAGCAGTGAGACTCAACACAAGCAATCAAACTGCAGCATATAAAACCAAAACAATTAGCTAAAAGGCGCTACAGCTGAGGGGAACTGCAGAGTGAGTAGATAAAACGATAAGATAATTTTAGTAGTTTTCTCTAAGAAGACACTGAAGCAGACAAAATCTCAGACAGATCCAGCCTGTGGATACTGAACTGAATGCGTTGGAACCAGCAGATAGCTGATTCCAGGGTTTTAGGTTTTTGTTTACAAGATAAAACTAATAAATAAATAAAGAATTCTCCAAAATAAAACTTATTGTCAGAGTCCTAGGAAATACACTGTAATCACACATCATGTATTTAACAGTGACAAGTTGCTGAAATCAATCATATCTATCGAAACCAACAACACTACACATCTAAAGCAACAGTTTCTGTGCCTCTGTTATGTTTTCGTTGGCACATGATGTAGCCTAATATTTAGCAGGAGAAGTCGAAGCAGCTGGGCGTAGTGATATTGCTGCTGGTGCCAACTTGGCACGTGCACCAACAAGGATCTAAAAGTATGTGGATGCGTAGACTGTGAAAATGTATAGGCCCAGAGCTGGCAGAGATATACTGAGTGTACTACGGTCCAGAATAGCTGACCTGGCTTTATTCACCAGGTGCTTATCAGACAGGTGTATTGTTCAAACTCAGTGTATAAAATATTCTGACACTTAAGTTGTTTTCGTTCTTGATTAAGTAAATTGATCAATTAAAAATTACAGAGTAATTGCTTAAGGGTTTTTGTAGACTGAAATAAAATTAAACTGATATAAGACTCTGCTGCACTCACAGTAGGGGGCAGTATAAAAGAAAGTACAGTACAGCAGATGACAACTCCCAAACAAATTACCCATTTAAAATTGTGCTTGCGATAGAAGTAGAAATAAAATGAGATGGGGTTTTCTTTCCTCCCCTCTTCCTGGACACACTCACAACAAATACAAAAGACAAAATTCACACCTACACACACGTACACAAAAACCTGCAAGAGAACAAGGCTTCCTCCACTTCACTCCATCATCAGAGAAATCAACATCAATTCTGAAATATATTACAGTGTGCACAAGGCTTCAGCTTGATAGATATCTTTACCAGAGCAGCTCCCCTCCTCCACGTGCACTGCAGATACCTGCTGTAACCAGAGAGTGGGAGCTGAGACGGTATGTGAACACAGCTGGAGGTTCACAGGAAGTAAAACTACCCTGATAACTGCTCAACATAACACTACCTCTCTGAATACAGAAATTCATTTGCAGTTATTTTGCTTATTCTTTCTCCCAATGCTCATTTTGTTTATTTTCTCACAAATTATTTACCTAATAATTAATCAGTTATTGCTTTTATCTTTATTTTCTTACTTTTCCCATGCTAGAGGGTGGGAAAGTGAAGGGTGCTGAGGTCTGCAGTTGTTAATGTTGTAGACACACTCACTGTTGTGTCAGTTGTGCTCAACGGACGGCTAAGAACACTTGATCAGTTTCATGATTTTAATGAAAGGGGAAAAGATTCACCCTATTTTGTTTCTTCTGTGTATAATCAGTACACAAACATGAATAGATCAGCATGAACCTGTGGTTTTAGGGGGAACAGAGACCATCCTGCACCTGCAGGATACCTACTGTATCCGTCAACCTGCACTATAGGTGGAGACACTGCATGGAAGTACTGGGCAGACTGATATGTGACATGTTGGTGGCTGCACTTAAATCCCTCTAAAATACAAAAATATGCTTTTACATTCAGGCTGGTGTATATATATATGAGATGTACAGTATGTTAAGATTTAACGGCTTTGTTAAAATGTGCGTATTTTTGAACTTTGGACTTCTTCCATTTCCAGTTGTTATGCTAAGCTAGGTTAACCACTTCCTGGCCCCAGCTGCATATTTAATACATAAACATCAGAGCGTTAGCAGTCTTTTCTTCAATCTCTAATGAAGAAAGAAAATGTGCACATCTTCTAAAATGTTTAACTTTTTCTTCAAACCTTATTAGGTTAAATTATTTTGTTAGTTAAACTTCAGTACTCAGTAGTAGTTCTATGAGTCTGGTTTAGTTTTCTGTTTTGACTTGCTGTTAAAATATCAAATGGCCACATGTTTGCCAACACAAACCCAGTGTATACAGGACACATGCAACCAGACACCTCAAACTGTGACTAAAGATGCAGAGCAGGATAATGAGCGTGTTAGCTGGTTTTTCCCTTCTTGATGAATCCTTAGTCATACTGAGATGATAATTCATCACCTGCTTGATGCTGCATCTTTGTGATCATGTCCTCTCTGTGATCATAGTGTGCATCTCACCTGGGTTTGATGTGCGAGTCCTTTGATCCAAACCATCCCCTGTGTTTCTCCTCAGTGGCAGCAGGGGCCTGTTCAGACTCATCTTTGGACTGACTCTGCCCTTTCCCTGCAGACTCACTCCTCCCATGGGAGAACAAGTTCCTCCTCTGCTTTTTCCCCTGGTTTTCTGACTCCGCTGTGGAAACAGCTTTGGGCAGACGCTCCTCTTCTTCACCCAGCATGGGGCCGCTTAGCTCCAAAGCTGCCACTATGGCAGCCTTTTCCTCCTCGCCCGGTTTGTCAAAAGACCAGCGTCGCCCGTCTCCCACAGGGCTCTTGGAGAGGTCTGTGGAGGCACGGGGGCTCAGGTTCTGTAGTGACATGGACAGAGGCAAAGACTTCTGCAACAGTCCCACGCCTAAAGAAGACGCAGGCTTTCCTGAGCCTGGGTCTGGGGGCTTGTTATCATGGCTTCCATTAACACACACGTTAATTTGAGGCACTGCGATGGTGATCTCACCGGCCTCATCACCAAACCCATATTTGAGAGAGGGTGACTTGGGTGACGTGTTTGCCGTGTGCTCTGAGAAAAAAAAACAAGACACGAAGAGGAAAATAAACAGAGAGGAGAGAGAAGGAGAGATATGAAAAACTGATGCAGGCAGTCAATGACTTGACTAAACCAATTTTACAAGAAGTTTAATCTGGTGGTGAATCATTGTGATGGCTTGATGACTGTCAGAATCTCTGGCACATATAGGTGGAAAAATGACTGGAAATTGATTATTTTACCTCAGTGTAATTACTGAATCTCTTCTAATATAATGGGAACTGCTGCTGCCTGCTTCATAGTACAACTTCTCTCCAGTCGGGTAGTTTAATAGCATAGCTGGCAAAAAGGTTATATAAATTAAAGCAGCTCCACATGTGGGACTTTAACTGACTCTTTGCAGGTTCATTATCACCTTGTTTCAAAACAGGATATGCATACATTTCACTAATATATGTTTAAATCTTAAGAGCTTGTCAGTATTTTAGCTGATTACTGGACTCTAGACACTTTTCACTTCATTTTCTGACATTTACATACAGATGAACAACTGATTAATCAAAACAAACTGAACCTGCACATCTGCTGGTCATTCTCACCTGGACTGTTATCTGCTGTCAGGTTGCTGCTGTTACTAGGCGAGTTGGAGAGATCAGAGACCACCACGCTGATGCCAGCTGTGGGACTGAGGCTCCCGCCCCGTGATGACGACTCACTACTCCCTGAGCCTAGTGATGTGCTGGAGCGAGTGTCCGATGATTTCCTCAGCTTCCCTCTCAGGAAAAAGGTCCTCATCTTGCTCCGTCGAACCTCACCACCCTCGTCATCTTCATAATCCTCCTCCCCACCTCCGTCACTCGGCAGCCGTTGCCGCATCCAATACAAGGGCCCGTACCCGCCTGGCAGAACGGCCGACGAAGAGTCCTCATCGATGGAGCTCCTCTTCCCCTTTATGCGCTCTTTCAGTTTACTGAAGGTGGAGGCATCTTGGTCCTTCATGACAAGCTCATACATGCTGGCCGTCAGGTTGTTTCGGGTGAACTGGACCGTGACTTGAATATCTCCTCGTTCCTTCTCTTTCTTCCCCGTTTTGGAGTCGAGTCTGTACCACCTGCAACAGGCAAAAATCCATTAACAGTTTAATCAGTTAGCTGGTCAAATTAATCAGCAACAATTCTGATCACTGATTCACTGCTGAAGTCTTTTATCAAGAAAAAAAAAGGCTCCAGCTTCTCACATGTGAGGATTTACTGTGTTTCTCTGTTTTACATCACTGTAAATTTGGCTTATTTGGGTTAATGGGCTGTTGGCCATCCCAGTCAGGTTCTGTGATGGGCATTCTTCATAATTTTCAGACAATTTAGAGGCTAAATGATTAATCAATTAATCAAAAATGGCAATAGAGCAGCAGACTGATTGCTAATGAAAATAATCAGTTGCAGCCCTAGTGCGATTTTTTTTTATTTTTTTTATTGACCTTCTGTACAAGTGCTTGCACTGAATAGAGTTGCAGAGTGGGAGGAGATATTTTGGGTACTGCTGGTTCCTGATGCAAATGTCCCATTTATAACCCATTTATTTACCCAGTGTCTATGTCTGTGGCCAGACATCCCACAATACCTTGGGGAAGCCTCTTGTTTTGGACATTAGCTCTGGTAAGCAAGAAGAAGGAAGCAAGACCATGGTCACTTCCAGATTAACAGTGAGTCTCTAACCATGTCTGACCATTAACCAGATTAACATCCCTTCATTGATATGAGAGTGTGTGACAAAAAAAACAAAAACAAATCACTCCCACCTGCAAATTCTTCTACTGGACACACACAGAGGAGCAGTTCTTAGAAACACTGTTGACTGGTGAGTGGGAGGGTGCCAGCAAGTTCACCACACTGTGACTCATGGGAAAGTCTCAGCTTGTTACTCGTTTTAAAAAAGTAGATGACTGAGAAAAATCCCCCCAGTTACCATGTGTTTCTGACACTTTGTGAGCCAACAGGAAGGCAGAAGCGCAGGGAGCGTGACAGAATAAACAGGGCTGAAACCATGACCTGCTTTTATTTTTTTCACTTCCTGCATTGCTTGGCTATTGTCACCTCACTCTTCGACCACAATGCCCGTTTGTTCATAAAAAAATACAAGTGTTATGAGGCCGAGTGACAAATTTTACAATGATTTTCTTACTTTACACGACCCTACATAGGTTAGAGTAAACAGGATACCCAGACTCCAAATTCATAGGGAGTAATTTTTGAATTAGCCAAACTAAAATCTATAAAAATGACAAAAGAAAGAGCCATAAATAAATGAACACACTGATATGGAGCAGATCACAATAAAATGTGAATAATGTGCCAATGCAGACATTTTTGCCAAACAGAAATCATTGATGAAAATACGGTTTAGATTAAAACCTGAAAAAATATATGTTTAGCTAAAAAAAATTAAAAAATTTTAAAAAAGTACAAGTACATGGAATTTTGTAATTACATTAGGTGGTTGTGAAGACAAATGTAAATGCAGTGAAATATGAAAACAGGATATCAGAAGACTGGGCGTAACCCAGATACTGCTTCATGAAAGACTACCACGTCGTGTTGTGTTGACTGAACAAGGAAATCTTAACGCCACGCTGTGGCTGTCAAATGTGCAACTGAAGAAAGTTACAAGAATGGAGGTTTGAGCATAAAAGAAAACTGACTAAAGCAGACCTATATGCAAACGGAGAAATGAACCTCACACATTAACTACACTAAAACCAAAACACAATTTGTCTACCCACACACAAACCCTTCCTTCTTCTCTAAACGAGCAAGGCAGAAAATTAACACAGGTCACAACCCAAACAAAGCTAAACGACGGCTGCAGACGTTCACTGACATTAATTCATGGGGAATTTCGGGTGAGCTCTATCAATTTATAAATAAAGCCATAAATTAATATTATGCATTAAAGGTGCCAATCAATTTTATACCAAAACATTACAAATCTTCCTTGTTTCATTAATTTTACAGCCTGCACAGAATCACTATTTTGAAAAACTAAATTATTTTGCTAAAAATTCATAATAATGCAACCGACTTGTTGCTAAAGCCGTAGCTAACAGCATGCTAACAAGCTAGCACGGTAACATGCAACTGTTAGCATATAGCCAGCATTCTAATGGGTTCCTCAATCAGAAAAAAAAAAGATAAATAATCGTAAATGTTTTGATAAATCTTTGAAAAAGGTTGTATACTAATGTCTTTGTCATCACAGTTCAGAGATGTACTGTGGACCGAAGTTGAAGTGATAAGCCAACACTAACTTGCATGACCAAAACACTACTGCAAATGTAAACTGAACGGAGAAACATTACACAGCAACAAAACACTAAATATTTTTGTAACATCTGTATATATTGCGTTCATGTTGTATTTTTATTTGCTTCCTTCACCTGCTGCTTTAAAGTACCTTAGATTTGTGTTACTGCCTATTTAGATTTGTGTTATTGCTCATCTACTTTATATTTCACTTGTTTTATGTGGCATTCATGTGGACGGCAAAACTGTGCAAATGACAAATAAACACTTTGACCTTGATTACACAGGAAAGCTCTCTGCCTCAGTAAAAACACTGATGTAATTGGAGGCTGCAGAGAAAAACACAAGTCAAATGATTCACAGTACAGGCTATACTGTAACCGTCATCATCATCATCATCATCCTGACCTCACCTTCACAGTAACACCAAAGAAGGATGCCAGTGAACACAATTAGCAAACAAAGCCCTTCCACTACAATTCGGAGACTCACAAATAGCAAGGAGGTGCAGCCCAGAGAGCAGGAGCGAGAGGAATGCTGATGCTTTTTATAGCTCCTCAGGAACAATAAACATGACCCCTGACATAAATAGATGACAATGGAAACCTGCCACACAAGCAGGCATGGGAACTGTTAGTTGTTTTTGTTAAGTAGTCCAGAAGTAATTCACATGCACTTAAAAGGCGTAAGAAGGAGCAGCACACCCTCAAGAAGAAAGCACGTATATGAGCTCCTGCATTATGTTTCTATATATGCACACAATCAATATGACAGCAACTGAATTACACTAATCCAGACATAGTATTTCATCAAATCAAATTCAGTTGCTGGATTATCAAGATACACATAAATAAAGTGAATTCCTGAGCTTTAAATCAGTGTGCCGTTACAGCACAGATTTGTGTACAGGCTCCGGCTCCTGTGTCTACCAGTGCTGCTACGTCAAATGCCTGTTAGGCTATGGGCTTAAGTTTCACAAAGATGCTCCAACAATAGTATCAGTCCTCCTCCTGACACACTCCCTGTAGCCAAGGTGGGGTCCACTTTCCAAACATGGGACTCTTTTGCAAATGTCAGGCTACTACCACTACAATTCATTGACTTCGACGTCCAGAGACTGTCCTTTAATCTCCCTTCTTACTTCGCCCCGACTTGTTTGTTTTTTGAGGAGCACTGATCAGAAACTTGCAAATTTGTGATGCATTTTCATGTATTGTTAGGTCTTACTATTTAGGTGACTTGTGCAGCTTGGATTACATTAAAACCGTTCATTACTGATCATTAAACGTGCATAAAAATAAACTCAAGAGCTATGTTGAGATATACAAACCGTCTTTTGTTTTCAGAGGCAATGCAACAAGGTTATAGGCCTATTTAAATCCATGAACCTGGCCTTGTGATCATGTGATGCAAGAATAAACCTGACGACAACAAATGTAAACAGAAGTAAAAGTAAAAATGCAGCGCAGACAAAATCAGCAGCCTACATTCTGAAGCCCACACACACACACGTCTGTTACCAAAGAGAACCCAGTTTCCCAAAAGCATCATCCCACACAGACACCTGTAACAAGGCCGCAGTACTGATACTGTAAAGCACTTTGGGCTATAAAGATCCACTGGAAAGCTTATGAAGGTCTCTGCACCACAACAGTCTTCATTTTGGAATCAGTGGCAGTCTCGTCATAAACAGTCCCATTCCAGAGTTGCAGAGCATAACTGCATATCTGCTTCCCCATTGCACAAAGTCAGGAAATCACAACACTCCACCCATCCCAGCGTGACACCATGTCCTCATCTCCTTTCCTCCTCGGTCCACTGAGGAGTAGAGAGGAAATGTTCTGTTCCAGGAGCTGCAGGCTTCAACTTACAAAGTATGCATCTTCTGTGGAACAAGCCGATCTCTCGAAACTACCCCTAAAGGCAGGACAGGACTGAAATTACAAGACAATTAGGCTACCAACCTATTTTATCTTACATGTACTGTGGGGATTCTGTGAGCCTGGGTGGTATCAGAGCCAAACAGAGGAGACAAAAATAAAACCGGTGCCGAGGGTGCAGGATCTGTGTCTACTGTGGAATGTCAGTGCACTTGAGTCAACAAATATGTTGGTATTTAACATATGCTAGAGGAATCAGAAAGGCCTAGAGAGCTTAAAGCACGGCACTTTAAAAAAGCACAAACACATAAAGAAGCCATTTCCCCCCTTATAACTCACAATACAGCCAAGGTAGCAGCTCTCTGACCCTGAACTAAGGCACCACAGCGCTTTGAGCTAAATGCTAATGTCATCATGCCAACATGCTCACAATGACAATGCAATTCAGATGTTTGGAACAAGGCTAGGAAGTCATACCTTATGTCTGATAAAGATAAATGTGCTGTTAAAGCATGAAATATGTGATCTGCAAGGCTAAGCCATCTGCTTCTGCCACTTGCTGATTCAGCAGAGATGACAACAACAAGGTCCAACCAAAGCTGCTGGACATTCAGCAAAAACTAGCAATAATCTTAACACCCACAAATCCTCAGGCACACATCATAATCAGCAAAAGAAAACTAAGGAAATGGTAAAAGTAGATCATCACAACTAGAATCAAGTGCAACAGCAATAAAAGCATCCAGAGGACAAGGTTGTAACAGTTTCTACAGAGCGACCAACTTTCAGATGAGATTCACTGGACTGTGATGAGGAGCTAGCATCCTTTAACAATACCTGTCTCGTACTCCTCTGAGTACCTGGAGGAACAAAAGCAAGACTGTTTGGGCTGCAGTTTTACAGTGACCTAGATTTGGAAACGTTACCTCTTCCCGCTGTTCTCGGCCTGCTTATAACATGGTTAAATCCCTTTGACCACAACACTTGTGTTTGCCTGTCTCTACTTCACTGCCACTCCGTGTTGTCTTCAGTCACAGAGGCTGACAGGAGATTTGTGATGCAATTGCACAGCCTCAACGTGGCTCAGGAACAGAAGCTAGTGACAGTATAAGTACAATGTGAACTGCTGTATATTTTGCTGCCTATATCCATTTTCAGCTGAAGTTAATCTTATAAATCTCAAAAGCAAATGTCATCAAAAAGCCAAGGTACATCTTGTTGCTCTCTTACATCTCTCTCTTCCTGTTCAGCAGCATTAACTGAAACTGATCAACTGGATCACTAATCACACTGATCAGACTGATCAGCTTTCCCATGTGTTTTTCGATATACCGCTGGACTGAGGGGACAAACATTCAGCGTCAGAGTTTTTGAACTAGCATTAACTAATAACTAGCATTTTGGTCACCTAGCAACTACCTCATCGTATCAGCACGAAGAACCACCTCACCAACGTGTGAGGAATCTGAGGGCTGAAGTTTTAAATGATCATCTTGGGAATAAAACCTGATTCAAGTAAGTATAGCTTTTTTGTAACAGGCCTAACAAGGGCTGCTGGCAGGGTACATGTAAACTGATGTGGGTGTTTTTGTAGCTTCCTTCTGACAAACCATGCAGGGGAATTCACCCACAATGCCCACCTTTACGAGAATCTGATCTATAGTTCAACACACAAATTCATCTGGGTTACTGCATCCTCCCTTGCCACCCATGTGAGGGCAACTGTTCTGCCTCTATTTAGTGCCAAATTGCTTATTAAGATCAGGCATGTTGGGGCTTGTTCTGTTACATAAAGCATTCACATGGTTGAATAAGTGAAGATAAACTTTCCTTTCTTCCCCTTCCTTTGTATTAGCCCTTTGTTTTTCTGTTCCAACTAATAGTTAGTATAGAAAAATCCAGAATACTGATTTGGTATTAGATAATGGAATGTTTACCTCACTGCAGGGTTTTGACGGTGGGTCCAAAGCAAATCTTTACACTGGAGGTCGATCGCTGAATGCTGGTCATCTTTGCAGTCTTTAAATATTAGCCAGTTATCAAAAATGTAACTCCCTATTGATCAACCTACCAATTAAGAGACTAATAATCTCATCCACCCCTAAGTAGTGGGACTTAATGATTGTTTTGCAAGTCACCAGTAGCTACGTCTCAAGTCTTGGCTACGTCAACACAGGCCATTCTGAAGTTCAAGTGATAAAACCCAAAGTCAGTCATTACTGCACATGACTTTCACCACATTTAATGCCACATTCAAAGCTAATCCCAGGACACAACTGTTTGCTAAGTCCCACTGCCCTCTCATGGCACATACAACAGCTAGCCAGCTGCTTAAGGTAACGTTAGCTTCATGATACAGTTGAAAATACTTCACCCAGCTGACTTTCTAAAGGTTTTACACTGACTTGCTTTAAAATAAGACTCTTGTAATATGGGTCAGACTGTAATATGTAAGATCAGACTGCTATTCTAATATAAGCCCGTTTGGCAGCATAGATCATATCTTTCTGTATTTTTGAAAAGTATGTTTCACCTATATGGCCACAAAAATAAACAGCTTCAGGATCCTGTGTACTACAACAAAGAACAGGACAGGTAGGGCCAGAATGTTGGTTTTCCATCTAATGGTACGACCTACTACCAGGTCAACACATGTCTGAAGCTGCCATACAGACAAACATACAGTTCATGACAAATTAGACATGACATTTGAGATCATGTGACACATGCACTATCTCGGAGTTTCACTGCTGTTTCTTCATGATCTGAAGCGTGGAATAAAACCATCTTCTCCAACACAATCACTTCCAAATTTAACGCTCATCTTTCATTTCCACCGACTGTGACTGGAACATGCTGATTCAGAAGTACACTGCACAGAACCCAATGAAGCCTGGAGAGAATAAAACTAGTCAGAGGTTCGAAGACCTCCATTTACTGAAATATACGACTGTACTATATCACTAAGCCTCCACCACCTGTAAAGACCTTTAGAAATGTTAGAACTGTACTATGAAAGAGACGTGGTGGACCTTTATCTCATACACTCCACTTTATTTTTGTGGCCTATATTTAAAGATTTATATTTTTAGCTGGAACCGATCTGAGAGACAGAAACACGCTTTTGGTTTTGACATTAATAAAAATCTTATACTTTAGCACTAGCAAAAAACAATTTCTCCTAAAAACATGGTACATTTGCTGCTTGACATCCTCTGTCAAACACAAGACGCTTTATGACGGTAGCTCTATATGAACAGTGAGGGTTGAAGTGTTGCTACTGACCAGCCCAGATTCACCGAATACCACATGGAGACACTGAATGTACCAAGGCACCAGTCTGCTGACATCATCATCATCATCATCATCATTGGCCGACTCTAACCTTCAAGTGACCAGCTCCAGCAGGGCCGGGTGAAAACACAGCTGGGTCGGGTGATAGTACTTCTATCAAACTGCTGTAAAGGATGCAGAAACTAGAGGCTGAGAGGAACGTTTGTATTAAAGCCAAAATATTCAAGGGTGTTACAATGAAGGAAGATGAATGTGGCCTTTATTACCTCTGATTAAGACTGGCATTTTTACAAATACACCTAATGGTAATGCACTTTTTATCAGCAGGTAAAACTGTGTTTGTTGCTGCGATTTAGCTCTTCAGCACGAATCTGCTGGTGAAAACACACCATAATTTAGATACTGATCAGGGCAGGAACATCTCTGAAAAGAAGATGACCACACACCAAGCTTCAAAGGTTTTATTTGTCAATGCTTTGACCAAGGCTGGTCTTTCTCAACACAAGTTGGGGACACGGATTATAAAACCAGATGAGACTTGCATTAAAGTTGCATGTGATGCTTTGTGTCTCTACTTCTAAACTCTCTTCTTTGCACTAATGAACAAATAAGGTGAACTCAATCATAGAACAAGCAAAAAGACTGATTTTGACCATGATGCATTGCTGCCACTAGAAACTTTTCTACAAATCCTTTTTTTCCTTTATAATTTCTGTGTTATCACTGTCCAAGCAACAAATGAATGCAACAAGTTCAGGCTTGTCTTCTGGGAGTTACTGTAAAGCTGTTTGGGGTGTGTAGATCAAATATTAAAGCAAATAAGGTTAAAATTATATGCAAAGGTAAACTCTATTGTCACATATTGATCACACATACTGTACAAGTTACAAGATGGCTGAAATTTCCTCAAAGATTTGGCAAATGTTTACACTGAATCTATCCAGCATCAGACTCTAAATCGTTTCTTAAAGTTCGACTCATTCTCCAGTGGGTGAGATTCTGTAAGAACGTGTTATTCTGAAAATACACTAGAGCTTTAGTATCATGCAACTCTTAGATAATCCCTGAATCTGGGACAGGCATTAATCCCCCCTGCTCTAGCCTAGCTACTGGAGAAATACGTTTTAAGAACCCACAACAAAACACAACAAGCATCCAATGTGGGTGCAGCCAAGGAGCTGAAAGTGAGCTTTCTAGAAAGTCTGGTTTTGGGGAAGCCTTCAGCCTCAGATGTGCTCAGAGTTATTAGTTTGGTACATTTGGGGGAGGAGGGAGGGAGGGTGTGTCTGCAGGGCCCTGATGCAGCACCAGAGATTTGACAGCTGTGTTTACGTCTGAGAACAATCTGTGTAACAACTATACAGAACAAAACAGGGTGGAGGAGAGAAAAACACTATGATGAGTTCAATGAACGTGGGAAAACACATGAAGCGAATGGAGATGGAGCACATGCAGGCAGCTTTTGGTCACATATCTGCATGCTAAAGCCACACACAACTATTACATGTATAGGGGGCTGAACTTACTCGTTTTTCACGCATCTGCTCTCTTGAAACACCTTATCCAGCTGGATCACCGCCTGTCCGAGAAACACGTCCAGCCCGATGAGCGCCCGGTGCATCACAGTGAGGACCAGATTGTTGCACCCAGCCGGGTAGCCGCTCCGCCCGCCGCTGTCCAACACGCCAGGCTGCAGCTCGAACGAGCACTCCTCCTTCCACTCCGGCTCGGTGGTCTTCTCCGCCACGCAGGTCGAGTATTTCTCCTTCCCCAGCTGGATGATGGTGTACACGTCGCTAGTGCCGTGCTTGCCCTTGCCCCGTAAGCCCCTGCCTCTCAGCACCGTCACCTGGACGTGTGTCGGTACCCATTTCTGGTCCTCCTCTATGTTTAGTGAGGACATGTCCCTCTCCAGACAGACAGACAGACAGACAGACTGACTGACTGACTGACTGACTGACCGATCGACCGGCCTGCCGCGCACACCGAGACGAGGCCAGGCAGCCGCGGAGGAGATGCTGGTGTTGTGCGCCGCTTCCTCCCCGCTCTAGGTGCGCACAGTCATATCAGATCCGAGGTCGGCGGGCGGTGCCGACATTGTGGCTGTCTGTTGTCTCTGCAAAGTTACCGAGGTTACCGGTTGTTTTGTGCCGTAGCTGCTCCTGCGTCTCGCAGCAGTCTGCTCTGCAGCAACATCAGCGTCCGTCCCCGCACGGCGCGTCCCTGCCTTTCCCCTCCCGCTGCATGGGCCTCTCTGCGGGCAGCGACGTCACGCCTTTATCCTCCTTCTCCTGCAGGGCGAGGAAGTTCAGCACCGACACGCCACATGCTTGTTTGTGTACGCAGACTATAGTACACGCCTGTGCAGGAATGTAGGGTGTAGTATTTCTGCTTGGTGCTTGTGATTCAACCAGATCCGTCCACTCCTCCACAAGAATGTAACTCTCCGTGTTTGGCTGCACACACCCTGAAATGCTCATATGAAAGACTAGCGCTTCATGTCCTGTTATAGTATGTAGGCTGACATAATTCTCATATAGGCCTATTCATACAGCACAATTGTTATTTGACATCAGTATAAGGCTGCGCTTATAGATTAAAACAGTGCCAAAGCAAGGATGGATTACCCAGAGTGCAACTGCACAGTGGCCTCCATGCTCATCTTTCCTCATAATCTGATAAATATATGAATTAATCATTCATTGTTCAATGTATAAAATATGAGAAAACTTTTTTTAAATAAAAAAAAATCCCTGAAGTTTCTTTTTTTTAAACTTTCCTATCACATAAAACTGGGAACCTGGCAAATATTCACATTTGAGAAGCTGTTACCTGTGAAATATCCCGTTTTGTCTGATCAAACCCAAATATTTCCAATTGAATATATGGATTAGACCAGGAAAAGCAACAACATTTGTCATATAAGAAGCTGGAACCAAAGACTGTTTGACATTTTCCTTGAAAACCGACTTAAATGATTAATCAGTGATCAAAATAGTTGCTGACTAATTTTCTGTTAAGGAGCTTTGAGCTGTATCACATGGTCTTCATCAGCAGATGGAGTTTGCTCAGTTGCCATAGAGACAGATCTGTTAATATGATGCGATTTCATCCCCACAACACGTTTAGGACTCCATGTTGGTTTCCATTTAAGCAAGAAAGTTCATTCTTGACAAATATCCACAAAAATCAAGGTCCACTTACTGTACTAGCTTTTAACTGTAGTATATGTTCTTCATCAGGCATTTCTTTGCCTTTACGTGCTCACAGGAGGTGCCACTGATTATCACTGATGCCTTTCAGAAAAAAGGTTTTGGGTTCGAGCCTCAGCCAACTCAGCGGTACCTTTCTGTTCTCCCTGTGCCTGCGTGGGTTTTCTTCGTCCAGTCCACAGACATGCAGCTTAGGCTGAGTGGTAATTCAGGTTCTCTGTCTCTGTCAGCCCCTGACAGACTGGCGACCTGTCCAGGGTGGACTCCAGCGCCCCCGCGACCCTCTTCAGGCAGTGTAACTGGTAAAGATAATGGATGGATGAAATAAAATAACTGCAAACAACTCTCAGTTCAGTGGTATGAATGCACAACAACTGGGCCAAATGACCACACGACTCAATGTGAGCATTATTATGGAAGCTCTATATTCAGGTTAAATGACGTTTGACCCATCAGTCCATCAAAATCATGCCATCATAGATTTCCAGGGCCTCACAACAAGCAACTCCAACACTAACCCATCATAAAATGCACATTCGCTGATTTCATAAACAGCATTACAATCGACAAAATGCAGCTCATCCTGCTGACCAAGACCTACTGGTATGGTTAAATCTTCTTGACAGAACAAGCCAAAGCCTTCGTTCTTCATCAGCCCTGCAGGCAGGAATTTCCGAAGCAGAAGCATCGAAGGTCATGACACTAAGTCAACCACATATGAGACACACATTGCTGATATTTTTGGAACATCCTGTTAGTGTTGTAGAACATGAACATCATTGTACTGCGCCACGCTCAAAAGCTTGAAGAGCACCATTCATGTCCTTCCAGTCAGAAGCCAGTTTCCCTCTAACCCTCCATGTCCACACTTGACATATGACTGTATGGGACCATTTGTGTTGACAGGAAGAAGCTTTTCTTTCTTTGAGGGGATTTTTGTGGATATTTTGACAAGAAGCACTTGAGATTTTCCACTCAGGCAGCGTGAGCCACTTAACAGATCTTTGCATCTATGAAGTCTCAAGTTTATATGGCAAAGATGAAAATGTGCAGCAATTATCAGAGCATTTCTTCCTCTGCTTCCCACTCGCCCCTCTTTCCATCCTCAAGACATCCTCCACAGAAGAGGCCCATGAATTCTTCAGATTGTAACATAGCATGTGACTCCTACACAGCCACTTTATCACCAAATCTACAAGATCAATTTGTCCTCTGTGGTCGCAGTATTTTAGATACCGGGAATCTGTCCATAATGTTTTATGAGAAGTTAATTTTAGTGGAGGCAGTAATGAGGTTTGAAAACTAATTAGCTTTTAACCTGCTAGGAATGCAGGTTTCAAAGCAAAGGCTGGGATTTCTTTAAACTGAAGAAAAAGCACTTGACCCTTTTCACTTCACAGAAATCAGATGTGGGGAATAAAAATGTTCTGATAAATGGTGTAGTTGTGGGGTTTATGGCATTTCTGTCAGTTGGAGGGTGTTACAGAAATAGTTTAGTGTTGCCAAGATACAGTTTTGGCCGTGGAAGGATGTGATTTTTGGCAGAGCAATGAAGCAGGTTTGGCTGATACAAGTCCAGATATCTGTTCCTGATCCTCCATGCTGTGAGGGCATCAGGCAGGTGTCATGCTTGTTACATCCAAACGTGTATCATTCAGGTACAGTCAGTACAAGTAGAGTTCAGTACTTAAGTATGAATCTGAGGTACCGTTTTTCCATTTGATGCTACTACACAGTTCCACTCCACCATTTTTATATAGAAGCTTTACCTATCATGTACTTTTCTGGTTAGATATATCAAATATATGATAGACTCTTGTGAATTAAACTTTTCAACATACAATGAAGTAGTTAAAAATGCATCAGTAATCACAAGTTAATCACAAGCACGACACTTTTCTGCACAGCGAGTAAAAGTACTGCATTTCTTTAAATACAAGACCTTTACTTTTAAGATACTTTTAAATATTTTATATTACACTACTTCCTCCTTCACTTGAAGACTAATATCAGCTGAAGCTTACAGCGCCCTCTGCTGGAAATCACCAGAAACAACCCAAGTTGACAGTGTGGGCTTTATCCTAGGGGCGATCTCTAGCTACACATAACCATTGTTTACATTGTTGATTAGTCACTTCGCATGGTTATTGAATTAAAGATCCCCCTCACATTTAAACATATTCTGCTATGATTATTAATTTGTGTCTTGTATTTTTTTATTCATTAAAAATTCTTACAATTACATCTACCCCTTCTCCCTCACTTAAAACTCCAAAATCTCTGAATATCTCTCATTTAAAAGTTTGTGTACTGAAAACAAGATGTCTAGTTATTAAGACATTCTCAGGGTATGTGAACAGGAAGGTTGAAGTTTTCTCATTGCAGTTGTGTGTGTGTGTAAAAGTGTGTGTTGGACCGTGACTGGCTCCAGGATAGTTGAGAAATCACAAACTTGTATGTCCACATTTTAACCTGAGTGGTTATAGGGAGACTTTCCTCCAGGTGAATCTGAAAACAAGCTTCTGCACAGTGAAGGTCAAATGGTTTATGTAACAATAAGTAAAACACAGTACATTTTCCTAGAACCCTTGGTGATGTTTTCAAATGTCTTGTATTGTCAGATCAATAGTTCAAACCCCCAAAATACGGAGTTTACAAAGACAAAACATCAAATATTCACATTTAAGAAGCATTTATTCACATTTACTTGATAGGGTACTTTAAAATGTATCACTTGTCAAAAGTGTTGGTACTGCTTAAAAACTTCATTTTTTAAGCCAACATGGAAGAGAAGTCCTTAAAGTGTCTTGTGGTCAGACTGTTGAATCAGTGATTTAATAGAGTGTCAAATGATTTGCTACTGCCACACAGACCAGTGTGAGGTTTTCAGGCTGCCCATCATCTCTCACTGGCCACTAATCACATAAGAGACTAAACCTAGCACTATTTCTTGACCAACTAATCTGTCTAATGAAGATATTATCCTCACCACTTAAAGAGATTTCCATGAAGAGCTCATCCCAGAGCTCAGGTCCTCATCAGAGACAGATTCCTCAGATATTCCTCATCTATTCTGGGAGCCAAGCTGTCAATCATTCTTCCCTCATCAGGCTCTCAGATTCATATCAGATCCTGACAGCGACAGCTGTTACATAACCACAGCTAATCCACATGTAAGATGGAGCTCTGTGACTGAACACATATAAACACACACTCTGAACAGACAATAAAGGCCAGCAGCTGTCTCACACACACACACACACACACACACACACTCTGTGAAGACTACAGAGATGAAGCCTGAGACAAATCCAGTTCAAGCACCAGAGTGCAAATGGCCTACTTAGAGTTTAAACTGGGTAATTAGAAACCTAATCAAGGCATACTTTCTCACCCTTGATGAACACAATAAAATGCTCCTGTTCTCATACAATTAACATATAAAGCAAATATGGTAACAGGATAAAAAAAAATCATTTAAAATGCACTACAGTACAAAAGTATGAAAATGCATCTACTTACCTCTAATATATAGTACCTCAAATATACCGCGCCTCTAATTTAGTTGCTTGTTAGCTTCGTCAATAGTGACAGTATAGAAAGAAGCAGTGCAACAGATGCTGAAACTAATTAGCATCTATTAAAACAAGTCAATAAAGTGCACAGCTGTGCAGTGGTTGGCTCTGCTGCCTCACGGCAAAAAGGTTCTGGGTTTGAGCCTGGGCCTTTCTGTGAGGAGCTTGCATGACAGTATTGTACATGACTGGCACTCGGTTGCCAGTTTATTAGGTACACTAAGATAAAGTTAATGCAATAAACCCTCCTTCATGCAGGTGATAATGTTCAGTGTTTGCTGAACCTCTGTTGAGCTGCACTGCGTTACACAGAGAGGAGTTTCTGTTATTCAGCCTTGCCGACCCAAGTGGGGTGGACAAACTAACAGAAACACCTGTCACCTATAATATATTATGATTGTGTATCCTCCTGTCAGTCATATTACACTCTGGTGAGCAGCAGCTGTTACTGGGCAGTGAATACTGGTGACACTGCTGTTAGTGGGATTATGTAAATCCAAATATTTAGGCTGTGTGAAGGCGATCAGGTGTCTGCTGGACCCAAGGCTTCATGATGACTTTCTATCTAGACCGAGCATGCTACTGAATAACATGTTCAATAAGCCAATATTTCAGGTCAAAAGAGGCCATTTCTTTTATATGGCTGCCATGAATTTGGTACATGGTTAAGCATCTGCACTTTTCTGATGCTCGCGGTTTTCATT